CACGTTTTCCCTGCGTGACCCTTTCCACTGCCATCACACTGCATCTCTCTAGGTAGTCTGCCACTCACTAACCCTGTTGTCCGCTAGACGGGGGACCATACCCCGTGGAAACAGGGGCTGCTCATTGCTGCTGTGGCCCCAGTGCCTGGCACACAGAAGGGGCTCCAAACCAGTGTCCGCCTGGGAGGATGTGAAGATAAGCTAAGGGCACACCCTGCAGGTGCACTTTTAAAACTATTCCCCTTTCTGAATGTCCCTTTCAATACTTTCACTTCATTAAAAAATTTTTCTAATATGTTTTTATTGAAAAAAAAATTGTTTTGCCCGGGCCAGTATGGCTCCGTGGTTGAGCATTGACCTACGAACCAGGAGGTCATGGTTCAATTCCTGGTCAGGGCACGTGCCTGGGTTACGGGTTCGATCCACAGTGTGGGGCATGCAGAAGGCAGTGGCCAATGGGTGAATCTCTCTTATCTCTCTCCATCTCCCTTCCCTCTGAAATCAATAAAAATATATTTTAAAATATATTTGGTTAATCCTTATCCGAGGGTATTTTCAATTGATTTTTTTAAATTTATTTTTTATACCTGGTTGCTTATTTTTAAATATCCTCCTGCCTGGGGAGAAGGGAGAGAGAGAGAGAGAGAGAGAGAGAGAGAGAGAGAGAGAGAGAGAGAGAGAGAGAGATATTAATGACAACAAATGTTGATATTCTGATTGTGATCTTGTATTACCGTTTTCTAAAATGTTACTCTAGGGGAAGCGTGGGTGAGAATGTGGGAGCTCTCTGTGTTAGAATTTAGAGTTTACTGTCATCTAGAAACAAAAAATAAAAATAAAAAAATGAAGTTAGCCCAGCAGGTGTGGCTGCCTTCTGTACACCCCCTACTGGGGACTGAGCCCACAACCTGGGCATGTGCCCTTGACTGGAATTGAACCTGGGACCCTTGAGTCTGCAGGCCAACGCTCTGTCCACTGAGCCAAATAAGCCAGGGCTCCATTGATTTTTAGAGAGAGTGAAAGAGAGGGGGAAAGCCAGAGAGAGAGAAACATCCATGTGAAAGAGACACATGTATTGGTTGCACCCCCACCAGGGCCAGAGCCTGCAACTGAGGTACACACCCTTGGGTCCAGAATTGAACCTGGGACCCTTCAGTCCTAGAGCCGATGTTCTATTCACTGAGCCAAACCAGCTAGGGTGGGCTATTATTTTTTGAGAGAGAGAGGGAGAGAAAGGACAGAAACATGGATGGGAAACATCATCTATTAGCTGCCTCCAGCACGCCCCTTACTGGGAATCCAGCCTGCAACTCTCAGCGCGGGCATGTGCCCTGACTGAGAATAGAACCGGTGACCTCTTGGTTCCTGGGTCTACGTTCAACTGCTGAGCCACACCTGCTGGGCTAACATTTTGTTTTGTTTTACTTTTTGTTTCTAGATGATTGTAGATTCCAATGCTGAGAGTTCCCATATCCTCGCCAGGCTTCCCCTAGACACCAGGGCCTAGAGTGAATTTTAGAAAACTGTAGTGCAATATCACAATCAGGATATCAACACTGATGCAATCCAGCCATCCTGTCTGATGTCCCCATTTTACTTGTACCAGTGTGTGTGTGTGTGTGTGTGTGTGTGTGTGTGTGTGTGTGTTTTGTTCCCTACAGGATTTTTTTTAATCCTCACCTGAAGATATGCTCTTTTATTGACTTTTTATAGAGAAAGAGAGAAGGAAGGGAGAAGAAGAAGGAGAGAGAGAAAGAGAGAGAGAGAGAGAGAGAGAGAGAGAGAGAGAGAGAGATTGATCAGTCACCTCCTGCACACACTCTGTCCAGAGATTGAACCCACAATCTGGGTATGTGCCTTGAGCTGGAATCGAACCTGAAACCCTTGGGTCTATGGCATGGGACGACGCTCCAACCAAGTTAGCCACCAAATTGTAGTTCCCTACAGTTTTACCACCTGTGTAAATTCATAAGTCTACCACCACCCTTCAGGGACAGACCAGTTCCAACAAAAAGGTCCCTCATGGCCCTGACCAGATTGGCTCAGTGGATAGAGCATCGGCCTGAAGACTGAAAGGTCGCAGGTTCGATTTGGGCATGTACCTTGATTGTAGGTACATACCCAGTGGAGGTGTGCAGGAGGCAGCTGATTGATGTTTCTCTCTCTAGCTTTCTCTCCCTTCCTCTCTGTAAAAAATCAATAAAATATATATTTTAAAAGGTCCCTCATGACACCCACCCACCTTTCCCCACCTTTCCTTCCTGCCACCACCCTTCACCACCAATCTGTCCTCCATTCTGTCACTTTGCCACCTCGAGGATCTTAATAGCTGGAACCACACACCATGAACCTCTGGGGATGATCCTTCCCACTCAGCGTCATTCCTGAAGATGTTGCCTGTACCCAAGATGTTGCCTGTATCCATAGTATGTCCATAATTTTTTCCTTCTGAGGCATAGTGTGTAGTGTGACTGGCCCACAGTCTGTTTCCTCATCTCCTGGTAAAGGACCAGTTTGGGGATTTTGCAAATGCAGCTGCTAGGAACACATGTACAGGTTTTTGCATGAACAGAGGTTTTCATTTCTGAGACAGATGGCCAAGAATCTATCTTTCTTAAATGATTTTTTCAATTCCTTTTTTTTTTTTTTCCCAGAGAAATGCTGCCATTTGCTAGGCACACACCTCCTTTTTGAATCCCTACAGCACACCTGGCTTTTCATTCCACAACTATCTAGTCAGCCTTATGGTGCCCTGGGCCCTGGAGACCCCTGGGGGACCAAGTAAGGCATGCACCTGAGGGTACAGCAACAAGGATGTCAGCGCTGTGATGGGAAGCCGGGTGGGGTGCCTGGCCCAGCCTGGTGAGATCTGGGAGGACTTCCTGGAGGAAGAGGCAGCTGACCTGAGGCCTCACGGGTGAGTGAAGGTACACCTCGCCCAACGGAGGGATCTGAATGTCAAGGGCCAGATGCAAGAAGAATGGCAACAGTTCAGGAAGCCACAGGGAGATAGAGATTTGGGAGATGTGGGAGGAGGAAAGAGAGGTGGGCAGGGCTCGTGAGCCAAGAGAATTTCACCCTCACATCCAGCCTGGAGGCCAGGCCTTGAAGACCAGAACAAAAAGGTTTAGGCCAACATCAAAACAGCATGATGGCCGCGACCGGTTTGGCTCAGTGAACAGAGTGGACCGAAGGGTCTGGGGGTCAATTCCTGTCAAGGGCACGTACGTTGGCTGCAGGCTTCTCCCCAGCCCTGTGGCCCTGGTCAGGGCGCGTGCAGGAAGCAACCAATCGATGCGTTTCTCATATTGATGTTTCTCTCTGTCTTTCCGGCTCTCTTCCACTCTCCCTAAAAATCAATGGGAAAATATCCTCGGCCGAGGGTTAAAAAACAACATGATGTTCTAGCCTCTCAGCCTGGCTCCGCCTCCCGTCCAGCCATACCACCACAAACCTGGGTGGTGTGGAGAGCTATCAGGTCCCCACATAACTGGGGAGGACAGGGCCTTCCAAGATACGGGCAGCTGTCTCTCAGGGCAACGAAGCCTTCAGCTCGCAGGGCTGTTTGGGAGACTGCACTAAGATTAAACCATCCAGAGGTGGGGATCCCCCCCCCACACACACACACACTTCCACCCCAGCTATGGAGTCTGGTGGGATTCTGACAGCTCGGTGTGGGAAAGTGAGGCTCTGGGACTCCTGAGCCCAGGCCTCAGGAAGCATGGAGCTTCTGCCTCTTCTTGGACGTTTCTGCCAAGGAATGTCTGATTTTCCTGCCAGCCATCCAGGAGAAAGCCCCACACTGGCCACGAGAGGGAAGCTTTCTCCCAACTTCCTGGCCCAGCCAACACCACATGGTCGCCGCACCGCCAGGCTGGAGCACCATCATTCCACAGAATGATGAGAGGATGAATGGCTGCTGTTCTGAGACGCTCTGTCTGGGCCAGTTTGTTACCCAGCCATCAACCCTGCCTCTTGCACAGCAGCTCCATGCTCTGTGCCCCAGAGAGGTGTTCCCAGCCTCCAGCTAGCAATGATAACACCCTGTTCCGCCATTTTAAAATGCAGTGTTGCTGAAACCGGTTTGGCTCAGTGGTAGAGCGTCGGCCTGCGGACTAAAAGGTACCGGGTTCGATTCCGGTCAAGGGCATGTACGTTGGTTGCGGGCACATCCCAGGTGGGGGGTGTGCAAGAGGCAGCTGGTCGATGTTTCTCTCTCATCGATGTTTCTAGCTCTCTCTCTCTCCCTTCCTCTCTGTAAAAAATCAATAAAATATATTATAAAAAAATAAATAAAATAAAAATGCACAGTGTTCACCTTTAAGCGTTTTTACTTACTGATTTTATTTTTAAGTGTTTTTTATTTAAAAATTGATTTTAAAAAAGAAAATAAATAAATAAAGGGAAAAAATAAATAAATAGATAAATAAAAGTTATTTCCGAGAGAGGAAGAGAGAGCGAGAGAGAGGAATATCAATAAGAAGATCCCTACTGGGGATTGGTGGGCTTTATTGACTGATTTGAGAGGGGGCGGACATTGATTTGCTATTTCACTTATTTGTGCCTTCATTGGTTGATTCTTGTATGTGCCCTGATCAGGGATTGAAATCACTATCTGCACGTATTAGGGGGATCGCTGTAACCAACACAGCGGCCTGGACAGGGAGTGTTCGAATTTTAATACCGCTGACAATGGGAGGAATCTTGCGATCGTACAGTATACCGAGTGAAAACATCTATCGATGCTTCCTGGAAAGTTCCAGATGTTGGGTGCCGGCATCAAAGTATCTTCAATTTCAGGACATAAAGAAATAATAACCACAATACCAACAACTGCAAACATCACAGCCAGTTTGTAACAAACCTTACAGGAGGACACAACATTTTTACTAAGACGATCTTGGACAAAAACAAAGGTATTAATAACGGAATCATGGCAACTGCTGTTCAAGCAACACCCGTTCCAGAGGGAGGCCCTCCTCGGTTCCACCAGAGTCGGCTCAGAGAGGGGCAGCGTGTTCCCTCAGGACGCACAGCCCTGGCCCGCTGCCTCCCGGCTTCGTCGTCGCCCTGGGGTGGCGGAGGGAGGCGGGGCGGGGAGGACCGGGGGCCCGGGGCGCGGGGGGCGCGGGGGCCGCTGGGGGCGCGGGCGGCGCAGGCGCAGACGCGGCGCAGGGCCCGCCGGAAGTGCGCGCCCAGGAAGGCGTAGAGCAGCGGGTTGAGCGCGGAGTTGCTGTAGGACATGCAGTGCGCCCAGATCTTGAGCGCGTAGGCCGCGTAGCTGCGGGGGTGCCAGGAGCCCGACGGGCCCAGCGCCTGCAGCACCAGGAACAGCTGGATGGGGCCCCAGCAGACCGCGAAGAGCAGCACCACGGCCGCCACCAGCCTGGACACCCGGGCCCGCACAACGTCCGCCCGCTCTGCCAGCATCTGCCCCTGTTGGGGGTGGGAGGAGGAGGGGCTATGGGACCTTCCCCCGGAGCTGCCCTCCTGCCACCCCCTCAGATTCCCCCACTGGGCCACCCCATCAGATTCCCCCCGATGTGCCTCCCCACCCCCCGCCGTGCCCATCCCAGCCCGGCTCCGCCTCCCCGCAGCCAGCGGCGCACCTGCCGGGAGCTGTCGGCGGGCGCCGGGCTCAGGGCGGCGCGGCCCAGGTGGCGGAGCATGGCCCCATAGCAGGCGCAGGTGGCGGCCAGCGGCAGCAGGTAGAGCGCCAGCAGGTTGTAGAGCGCAAAGGCGCGCTCCAGGGCGCGGCTGGGGAAGGCCTCGCTGCAGTAGGTGCGCGGCCCCGGCGAGAGGCGGTGCAGGGCGAGCACCGGCGCCGACACGGCCGCGGAGCCTGCACCACGGGCGCAGCTGAAGGCCTCGCCCGGGGACCAGCGCCAGGAGGGGCCGGGGCCCTGGTCTCCCGGGCGCCTCCCCAGTCTGCGCGCTCAGGGGTTCTTCTCGGGCAGCGCCATGGTGCGCATTTCCCGACGCCCAGAGGGAGATGGTGAGAAGGAAGGCGCCCAGGGCACGAGGAGGACTTGTCCCCCCACCCCGTGTGCTCCCGCGCTTCACTCACCCACCCAGATGCCCAGGCTGACGGACAGCGCCAGGCGGGGCGTGCGGCGGTGCAGGGCGCGCAGCGGGAACACCGTCACGTACCAGCGGTCCACGCTCATGGCGGTCAGGGTGGCGCACGTAGCCTGCACGGAGACCTGGAGGGCCGGGAGCTGGACATGGGGTCTGCCTTGTCTGTGTCCACACTGCAGGTCCCCCTGCGCTCCCCCCTCCCACCCACACACACAAATGTCCAAACACACAGGGCGTGTCCTGGGAAGGTCTTCAGGTCCCATAAATGAAAGGGTCAGGAGAGGGGTGGTAACAGAGAGGACCCCAGAATAGTGAGGGCTTGAGGACACCACTGGGGCCTTCTGAGACCCAGAGACTGAGACAGGGAGAGGCAGAGCCATCCTAGGGGCCGGTGGGAGGGGCAAAAACCCCCATCACCCTCCAATGCTCATCTCCAACACCCAGTGCCTCCTGTAGCCCTGCCCTACCCATTGCTGGGGTCCCCCGCCCCCCACCAACCCACTTCCCACTGGGCTAAACCTTCTCCCAGCCTATCCACCAGGCTGATTCACCCTCACCGCCCTACCAACCCACTTCCCACTGGGCCCCATTGTCCCCACTGCACCCACCTGCCCACACCCAGACCTGCCCCCTGGCTCCCAGCCCCTTTCCCCCAGCCCATGGCCCACCTGCTGAATGTAGTTGACAAACTTGCACATGAAGTCACCCAGCACCCAGGCTGGCAGCGGGTAGAGTAGGGCGGTGAAGGGCACACAGCACAGCAGGAAGGTCACGTCAGTGACCGCCAGGTTGGCTGCAGGCAGGAGAAGTTCCGGCTCTGGACATGGGGCCTCCACACCCCAGCGCTTCTGGCCCAGCTCCCTGGTACCCACCTTTGTCTGAGTGACCAGCAGGTCAGCTCCAGAAGGCCCCCTACATCCCCTAATCTCCCCCTTTTACACTTCAAACATCCCCCACACCGACTTCACAGCTATCAAGCTTCAATGGGTTCAACCCTGTCTGGGCTGGGAGAGCCAGAGCAGGCCCCTGTCCCTCTGAGCCTCAGTTTTCTCATCTGCAAATTGGAGACAGTGGTGCTGGCCCAACACCCACCGTCGATGGAGAACACGAACTGAGCACTCACCTGCGTGGTGGGACATCCCGTCACACAAGTGTGCAAACTGAGCCAAAAACTGTGACAGAAATTGCAAACTGGGAGCCCAAGGACCAAGCAGCCCCTCCCCTCCACTGCTTTTATTCATCGAACACTGTGTCCTACGACCGCATTTCAATCGGACATCTTCCTGGAGCGGCAGGGGCGAGCCCTCCAAGCCACACTCTCCAACCTTTGATGTGCTGCGACCGCAGGAACCCTCCAACGCCCGTTTGGGAACTCTAGCCTAAGGCAGGGGGCCAGGAGGGAAAGGAGCGGAGACCCGGGGGAGACGCCTCTCTGGCAGGGCCCGGGCACCGCTAGGGGGCGCTCCCACCTCTCCGCCCTCGTGGGGACAGGGGGCTGGCAGATACACCCAGGGGCTCACCGATGTAAAAGTTGGTCACTGTGCGCATCTGCTTGTGGCGGCAGATGACGAAGATGACCAGCGAGTTCCCAGTCAGGCCGAGCAGCATTAGGGCGCCAAAAAAGAGCGGCACGAGCCAGGCGTCCACGGACCACACCGCGGGGGCCGGGCCGTCCGAGGCGTTGGCGCCGCAGCCCGGACAGCCCGAGGCGTCGGCCGGCGCCCACCGGGACGCATTGGGCCCCGAGCTGGCCAAGGCGCGCATGACTCTGCCGCCCTCTCCCTATCGATCGCTCCCCGGGACCGCCGCCCGGGGATGCACCTGCGGATCCCGGGAAGGATCTCGGCCGGAAGCCACCGTGGTTTGGAAGGTGGCTCCTAGGGGCTCAGCTACGCCTCTGCTCTAGCCGCACCGCCTCGCATTTATACCCCATTCCCTCCTGATCCCCGCCTTCCTGCCCCTCCTGCAGGCGCTCTCCGCTCCTTCCCCTGCCAGGGGCCCTCCGCCCGCTCAGCAACCTTCCCCCATTCTCTCCTCCCCCTGAACGGCGGCGAGGGAGAGCACTGGAGAAGAGGAACTGGAGGAAGGGCTGGGGCAGAGCGGGATGGGATGGGGTAGGATTTGGGTTGCTGTAAATCAGACCCCTTAGGCGTGTCCACCTCCCAGCTCATCGGCAGCTATTGGCAGACACCGGTACCGCTGCTGGTAGGTGCCCGGTGGTGGACGCTGTTGTACCAGAAAACTCACCCCTAGAAATGGACTCCATAGACTGGCCCAGTGGTCGGCAAACTCATTCGTCCACAGAGCCAAATATCAACAGCCCAACGATTGACATTTCTTTGGAGAGCCACATTTTTTAAACTTAAACTTCTTCTAGCGCCACTTCTTCAAAAATAGACTCGCCCAAGCCGTGGTATTTTGTGGAAGAGCCACACTCAAGGCGCCAAAGGGCCCCATGTGGCTCGAGAGCCGCAGTTTGCCGACCACAGGACTAGCCTATGTACCAGGATGGTCGCCATTGTGGAGTGCTTTGCAGCAGAGAATAAGGCACTATCATTTGTATAAAAAGACTGACCTGGGGGAGAAACGAAGAGCGTTGCACAGGCATTAGACCACATCAACTCTCCAGCGGGGAGAACAAAGAGCAGGTGGAGGGGAATGGCTCCTTGTTCACTCTTTTTATACTTTCCAAGTTGTTCTGGACACCTTAGAATAAAAACCAGGGGAGAGAAGTCCATGTGGGATGCTAAGAGGAACAGGTTGGATGGAGAGAGAGGAACTGTTTGGGGAAAGCTGCAGAGTTGAGTGGGACTGAGGGAGCACTCAGCAGTGGCTGAACCTTCGAGGTGGGGGCTTTGGGGAACAGCAGCAGCTCCCTGACAGGCCAGGGGTCCAGAAGGTTGGGAGAAAGTGTGCCAGAAGCCAATCCCAGCACGTCAGCAAGGGCTGAATCACCTGGGCTGGCTGAGGGCATTTCCCCAAACCTGAAAAGGATTTGCATAGATGATTGCTTGCTGCCAGACAGCTGAGAGCATCTTAATCTGCATGTCATTGCCTCATCCTGGCCAAACACCTGAACAGCTGGAGGTAATTCACCAATCTAACAATGGCTTCTATTATATATACCAAAACCTGGCCTTTGAAGCGTATATCTACCTTGCATTAGGACAATTTGTGTTAACAAATAGCCAGCATCCTGAGACAAGGAAAATTTAGTTCCTTTAGCTAAGCTCCTCTGGCCCCCCAAATGCTTTCCAAAATTATGTTTAGTCTCTGGACTCTTATTTAATTTATACACAGCACTTCTCCAGATTACTGAATCCTTCTAGATGCTGGATCAAGACCTGCAAAAGTGCAGTCCAGACTCTGGGAACGAGGCCCTGTCAGGTCGAGGCTCAGGCTGCATACTCTAGGATTGGCACATTTACTGAGCAGATATCATCATGGGTCGGAGCAGGAGGCAAACATTTGTAGCCCCAGGAAGCTCCCCCCACCCCACTTCTTTCTTCTCTCCTGATGTGCATCATCATTAATTTCTTTTGCATCTTTGCACATTTATCTACATGAAGTCACAGCATGAGCTCTTTGGGGAGGGAGGTCTTTTATTTTTATATATTTTTTACATATTTTTATTGATTTTGTACAGAGAGGAAGGGAGAGAGATAGAGAGTTAGAAACATCGATGAGAGAGAGTCATCGATCAGCTGCCTCTTGCACACACCCCACTGGGGATATGCCCGCAACCAAGGTACACACCCTTGACTGGAATCGAACCCGGGACCCTTCAGTCCCCAAGCTGACGCTCTATCCATTGAGCCAAACCGGTCTCGGTGAGGGAGGTCTTTTAATCGTTCCTCCTCCTTTTTTTTCTGCCCTCCATTGCTCTTTTTAAATATATATATATATATATATATATATATATATATATATATATATATTTTTTTTTTAAATATATATAATTGATTTTTTTTTTTTTTTTTTACAGAGAGGAAGAGAGAGGGATAGAGAGTTAGAAACATCAATGAGAGAGAATCATCGATGAGCTACCTCCTGCACACCCCCTACTGGGTATGTGCCCACAACCAAGGTACATGCCCTTGACCGGAATCGAACCTGGGACCCTTCAGTCCGCAGGCCAATGCTCTATCCACTGAGCCAAACCGGTTAGGGCTCCAATTGCTCTTTTAAAAAAAATATTATCCCCATCACCATTTATCCCATCTATGCCCCCTTCCACCTCCACCCACCCCACCCCTACAATCTCCCCCTCGCTCCTTATTTAAGATATGCTGGGTGATTTCTTCTGTGCATTTGCACCTGACTGGGTCTGGCAGTTTGCATCCCTGTGGTGTAGGTTCCCCGCTTTCCTTGTAGACGGAAGGGAGGAGCCTGGATGTTGGAGCAGGTTTAATTCTGTGCTCTAAGTCCTCCCATGGCTCCCCAGTGCCTTCGGGACCAAAACCAGATCTGTCATCACCAGGCTCAGGGGTCTGCCCCTCCCCTCCAGCTCTACTCCCCCTGCCTCCCACTCCCTCCCTGCTCTGGCCACTCGGCATTGGCCGTTTGTTCTCCCAGAGGCTCCTCTTCCTCTCCCTGTGGGTGAGGGGGGGGGTCTGTCTTGGTCACTGCTGGGTCCACAGAGCCCAGAAGTGGCCCCATGAAACAGGAGGCTTCTGTTGAATGAATAAACCCAAAATGCCCAAGGTGCTGGCATCCCAATTTTTTGGGTTTTAGTCCTCACCCAAAGATATGTGTGTGATTTTGATTGCTTTTTTAAAAACAGGAAGGGAGGGAGAAACATCCATTGATTGTCTGTGCCCACACTGAGGGTCAAACCCCCCCCCCCCACACACGCACACACAAATGTCCAAACACTCAGGCGCACACAGCGCGTGTCCTGGGATGGTCTTCAGGACCCACAAATGAAAGGGTCAGGAGACGGGTGATACCAGAGAGGACCCCAGAATAGAGAGCCAGACCTGGCCCCTGGCTCCCCAGCCCCTCTCCCCCAGCCCACAGCCCACAGCCCACCTGCTGAATGTAGTTGACCTTGGGATTGAACCTGCAACCTGGGTATGTGCCCTGACTCAGCCACTACCTTTGCTCGTGCTGGACGACGCTGGAACCAGCCGAGGCACACTGAGGAGGGCCCGAGTCCTACTTTCGGAGATGGGTAAACTGAGGCATGCAGCTGGTGCTCCAGGGGCTACACTTTCACGACCGACAAAAAGGGAGCTGGTGCTCGGAGAGGGTGGGGAGCATGTCATTCATCCTTCCCCTGCTTCCCAGGTCTCCCTTCCCTCCCGTTATCCAGGCCTCAGTTTCCCATCCCCCGGCTGGTGCCCCGCCATGCCCGCAGCCTGGGTTTGTGGCCGCCGAACCTCTACCCCTGAACCCCCTCATTTTTTCGGGTCCCCCGTCTGGGGCTGGGTGCCCCCTCCAGCCGCAGCCCGGGGTTGCACCGCCTTCCCGGCAGCGACCCCGCCCCGCACGGCCGCCCCGGGACCCGCCCCGGCCCGCCCCCGGCGCCGTCACTTCCTGCCCGGCCGGCGGAGGCCTGGCCGGCGGCGGCGGCGGCGGCGGCGGCGGCGGCGGCGGCGGGGCCCTCCGAGCCATGGTCGCCCTGGAGCAGCCGGAGGGCGGCCCGGAGGCGGCGGCGGCGGCCGGGGGCGGCCCGGGCGGGCGGCGGACGCTGTGAGCGCGGTGGGCGGGCGGGCGCCCCTCCCGGGCTCCGGGCTCCCTCCCTCCACCTCCCGCCGGCCGCAGCCCCAGCCCTCCCGCCCCTTTCCTGGGGGACACCCCCGAGCCGGTGGGATGGGGGCTGACTGTGTCCGCGCGTTTCCCGGGAAATCCCGTTCCCACCCGCCCGCGGGGGGTGGAGGGACCCGGGGCCCTGGAGTCCCAGGTGCCGAACCGTCTGGGGTCCCGGGAGCAGCTGTCACCGCTCGGGCCCGGCGGCCGCTGGGTGATGCCCCCAGGCTTTTGTCCACACGCAGGGTTCATGCCCCCCAGGCCGGGCAATCACCCCACAGCCAGGGCTAGACCCCCACCTGGATTACCACCTCCTTCCTGGGTGCACAGGGTTTATCTCCGGCCGCAAACCCAGATTAACGGGGTGGAAGGGGGGTGGAGGGGCTAAAAACCCGGTCCACCGGAGCCTGTCTGTCCCCCGAGGGAGCCGGGAAGCCAGGGGAGCGAACCCATATGGGTGGAGACACCCCTCCTCCATAACAGTGTGGGTCCTGTGGGTCTCAGGTTTCCTTTGAACCCTGGAGTTTAGGCAGAAACACCAGGGTTCAAAGGGTGTGGCCCACCCGTCCTGTGCCTCAGTTTCCCCCCTTGTGAAATGAGATAATAACAGTGGCCTCTTCTCAGAGTGGCTGGGGGTGTGTGTGTGTGAGTGACCCTGTGTCCCTGAGTTGCCCAGCACAGGGTGTCCATTTTTTTTTTTTTTATTATCTTAAACATCCTATTATTGTAGTTTTATTATCATTTTTAAAGGATCGTATTGTCTTATTATATTTGTTATTACTTTATTGTTATTTATTATTACCTTATGTTTTCTCATCTGGGCATTTGCCTGAGGCCCTCCTGGTCTCTACAGATACCGGTATTTACCGTACCGGAATGAGAGATAACACCTCTTTGAAGAGGCCTTGACCACAAAAGTGCAGATTTACCTGCCAGGTGTGTTACTCTGACCTGCACAGAGTGCCCCTCACCTCTGTGTTTTGGGGTGTGTGGCCACTGCTGGCCCCACCTCAGCTGAGTCATCTCTACCCCAAGCCCTCTTGGTTTCCTGCTAGGGAAGTAGGTTCCTGTCTTGCCCGTCCCTGAGGGAGGGGACAGGTCAGAGGAGGTGATTTTTGCCCAGGGCAACCGTGTCGAAATTCCCCATTTCAGGGAGCAGAATTGGGGGCCGCAGGGTCTGCCCTCCCAAACCCAACCGGACTTAGCATCTGTTCACCGTGGGGCCTGTCCTCGGTGCACACATTTCCTGAGGACTGCTGGAGCCTCAGTTTCCCCATTTGCAGAGTGGTCTTTTTGGGGTGGCACAGAGAGCAGCTGAACAGCCATGAGCACCCGCTGTGGGGCCGGTATTGCCTCATCCTGTGTCCTCTTTGCACAGGTCTAGCAAGGAAGGTAAGGATTAAGGACAAACACATACATGGACCAGCTGATCTTGAATGCCCATTGGTGACGCATGCAAACAGGGCTGATGGGGCTAGTGGGGGCTGAGGCAGTTTCTGGGGAGGTGACATTTGAGCAGAGGCCAGAAAGAGCTGAGAAAGGGTGCTTCTGGCATAGGCTCAGCACATGCAAAGATCCTGAGGTGGGTGGTTTCTGGCTGGTGTGAGAGACATGGAGGGAATCCCTGTGGTGGGAGCAGAGAAAGCCCCCAGAGGGGAGATGGGGTTGGGTATTGATGTTTTGCCAAGTAGAGATCATTTTATATAAAAGTTTACACTGATAGTCAACACCCCTCCCCCCAGCCTTTATAACAAGTAGGAGTTCTGGGAAACTGTGCCCTGCCCCCTTTATGCCTTGTCCCCTCTGTGTCTTGATTGGGGGTCTCAGGCCCTCCGTAGCCACGTGTTTCTTATCTCTTGCTGGAATCTGGGTGAAGTCAGGAGGCTTGAGTTGATGGTGGACTCATTTTACAGTGCTCAGCACCTGAGGCCCATAAGAGGGTCGTAAGCCCCCTAAAATGCCTGGGAACAAGACAGACAGGGACTCCAACACCAGGTCAGGGGAGAGCTGGGCCTTTCTCTGACAGTGCTAGGGAGCCACGGGTGGGACAGGGGAGGGACCTGTTGGGTCTTAGATGGGCTTTCGTCTGAGGTACGGACCACAGATCTCTGTGAACTCACACGTGAAACAAGAGGCTTCCTTTTGTTGTATGTGGGAGGTCTGTTCAGACTCAGGTTCAAATCTTAGCTCTGCTCCTACTCTGGAGGTACCGGGAAGCCCTTTTCTCAAAGAGCCCAGGCCCTAAGGGCTGGAGCTCTCTCACTGCGGCCTGCCCTGCTCTGATGTCTGATAGCTCCCCCAGGATGTGGTTTCTCTTATCTGCCCAACCAGGCTGCCATCCTGGACTCTGTCCAGCTCCTGGAGTGGAGACCTAGGCTCTGGAGCCAGGGGTGAATCTGGAGATGGGGTGGGCGTGCTTGAGGCTCAGGAGTCATTTCTCAGGGCGGAGCCTGTGCTGACTTGATATGTGAATGCTCACCCCAGGGATGTTGCTGTGATCGTTGGTGTGGCTGAGGGGATGAGCTCCCCATCACAGGAGGAAACCAAGCGTGTGGGGGTTGGGATGCCAGGGGAGGGTGCCTGTCCCAGCTTCTGGCTTTGAGTGCCCTCTCCCAGACTCACAGGCAGCCACAGGGATTTTTGGGGACATCTGATCCAGCAGTTCGTGTGTGTGTGTGTGTGTGTGTGTGTGTGTATGTACCTACTGTGTGCCAGGCATAGCTGTGAGTGCCCCAGGAGAGGTTATGATCTGGGAGAGGTGAGGGGTCCTCAGTGGAATAGAACGTTCGGTGACCCAAAAACCAAAGCAGCAAAGTATTGCACAGAAGAGGTTGCAGTCTTACGGAGGAAGTTTCAACAGAAGCCAAAAGGAAGTGAGCCAGTGAGCCATTCGGAGTCTAGGGGTCCGTGTCCCAAGCAGAGGGCACAGCCAACGCAAAGGCCCAGAGGTGGGGCTGAGCCTGGCTTATTGGAGGAGCAACAGGAGATGACAGGAGTGAATGAGGGAAGGTCCATGGGGAGGGGGATCCTAGAACCCCAAACATTCAGAGCCAGAATCCGCTATTGCCCGGCACCGTGAGGTTTCTGAGCCCAGCAGGGACCACCCACACTCTGTGTGAGTCCCGTGGGGCCCCTCCTGTGGTTTGGTGTTATCAGGGACTGACCGGAAAGCCCCAGCAACTTCTGGCCTTGAGGTTTCTACCCAAGAGCCCCCTGCTGCTCCTGTGCACCTGGCCTTCTGGTCCCCAGCAGGAGGCTTGGTGGCCCTGCTCATCCACCTCCATCGTTAATGCCATTTGCTCTGAGGAGGGCACATTAGCTGGAGGGGGGCACTCCGGCCCCCTCCCTGGCCCTGGTCCCTGGGCACATTGGGGAAGCTGGGCTCAGGTGAATCAAGCCTTTGAGAAACTCCCAGAGGACGGTGATGTTCAAATCCGTACGCTCTGGGCCTCATCGCCTTACAGCTAAAATCTGGAAACCTGGAAGGGAGGGGGGCAGCTTTTCTCAGCCCCCACCTGATGTGTGGACTCAGGCAAGCGTCTTCTCAGAGCTTCCGTTTGTTTACTCGTCTGTCATCACAATTAAGCCTGCGTTTCGGGCGATGTGACAGTGAAACAAAATAAAATGTTAAGGGTCCAGGGCTACGTACAGGGCAGGGGGTGAGCTGCGGTTGCTGAGGGAAACGGAGCAGGTGAGGACCATGGTAGAATGGCAGCGGCAGGCTTCTGCCTGGGCGTCCTGGCCTGTCTCGGCCCTGAGGACGGCTCCCCGCCCTAAACCCCGGCCCACAGGCACCTTGCGGGATGCCTGCCCGCCCTAGCTGGCCCCCAGGTGAAGAGGTTCTCGGCCTCCAAGCGGAAGCAGCACTTCATCAACCAGGCCGTGCGGAACTCAGACCTGGTGCCCAAGGCCAAAGGGCGGAAGAGCCTCCAGCGCCTAGAGAACAGTGAGCAGGGGTCAGGGGTACCTCCTGGGGGTTCCTAGGTCTTGGATGAGAACGGTATGCATGTTGGAATCATCGGCTGCCTTTACCATGAGCCTGGCCCTGAGCTGGGCGATCCTGGGGCTGGGCCAGGGGGACCTTGAGGCATTGGAGCTGGGGCTTTAGAGGGTGTGTAGGAGTTTAACAAGGCAGGAAGAGGTAGGAGGAGTTCTGGAGGCTGGATGGTTTTCTGTACCTTCTGGGAGAGACAGTTGGAATGTGGAGGTGGGGAGGCTGGTACAATCCAGAGAATAAAAGCTATAAATATAGGGGGGGGAAGCTATAAATATAGAGATGTTAGAGTGTCAGTCCGAGTACTGAAGGGCCTCGGGTTTGATTCCCGGCCAAGGGCACATACCTGGGTTGCAGGTTCAATTCCTGACCCCAGTCAGGGTGTGTGTAGAAAGCAACCAATAGATGTGTCTCTCTCACATTGATGTTTCTCTCTCTCCCCCCTCCCTCCCTTTCATTCTCTAAAAATCAATGGGAAAAATATCCCCATGAGAATTAACAAAAAATATAAATAGAGATGGGGGGAGGAAGCCTGGAGGGCCCCCAATGCCACACCCCAGCTCAGAGACCATCTGTTTCCATCCAGCTCAATACCTCCTGACCCTGCTGGAGACGGACGGGGATGCACGCGGCCCGGAAGATGGGGACCTGGCGCCCCCCGCGGCACCTGGCATCTTTGCGGAGGCCTGCAGCAATGAGACCTACGTGGAGGTGGTGCTCCCTGCGCCCTCGCTCACCCCCTCTGTTCCAGCCACACTGTTTCTGTCCCGGCTCCCACCACCAGGCATTGCCTGTGCCAGTGCCTCCACCAGGAGTCCCCTCTACCTCTGGCCCCTTGATGAATGCCCCTTCAGTCTCCCTCTGGGCTCTTCAGACCAGGCTGGAGCCCCTCCCCACCCCCACCCCCACCCCGGAACCTCCTAGCACCCATGACTCATCTGCTCATCCATATAGATACCCCTTCCCAGTCAAGAAGGTCTTCAGGGGTCCCATGACTTCCTGGCGAGTCCAGTGAGCAGAGGTGTCCACAAGGAGTGTTTCTGTACACTCTGTGGCCCACCGTGTGCATTGGCCAGACGGGGAGACTGATGTCCGGAGATGCCCCATCCTTAGCCCAGCGCCTGCCTGCCTCTGTTCCAGGTCTGGAATGACTTCATGAACCGCTCCGGGGAGGAGCAGGAGCGGGTCCTCCAATACCTGGAGGATGAGGGCAAGACCAAGGCCCGGAGAAGGGGTCCCAGCCGGGGGGTGGACCGGAGGAAAGGTGCGCCTGGCATGGGGGGTGGTTCCAGACTTGTGGATGGGGGCCTGGCCCAGTGTGTGGGGCAGGACTAGGGACAGGTAGGGAGGCAGTTTGCTTCAGCTGCTGCCCAAAGCCCTGGCCTCTTGCAGAGGACCCAGCCTACACCCCCCGAGAGTGCTTCCAGCGCATCAGCCGGCGCCTGCGAGCCGTTCTCAAGAGGAGCCGCATCCCCATGGTGAGTAGCTGGCTGAGCCCCTCTTTCCCCACCTGCCTGTCTCAGCTTTCCAGTTGGGGGTGGCACGAGGGCACCAGGTACATAGTGCACACGCTGCAGTGGAAACAGGGTGGGATACACACCAGTGAGATCAGAATGCAGGGCCCAGGGCTGGTCAAGGTGGGAGGGTCAGGGGCAATGAAGGTGGGCACTGCAGGATGTGTAGGAGTTCACCAGGCAGAAGGTGCAGGCATCCAAAGATGTGAAGATTTCTAAGTGTCTGGAATTCTTGGAACTCATTAAGTAGCCTCCTGTTGCCGGTCAGAGGCCACATTTGAACCCCAGGCTTTGAGTTCTGGAGACTGTCCTGGTCAGGATCTCAGTGTCAGCCTGACCCCGGGCCTGTATCTCCTGCAGGAAACGCTGGAGACCTGGGAGGAGCGGCTGCTGGGGTTTTTCTCAGTATCTCCCCAAGCCGTGTACACGGCCATGCTGGACAACAGGTGACTGGTGGGGCGGGTGCAGCCAGCTCCCTGCATGTGTGCCTCGACCCCGGCCTGTGGCCACTCACCACCCATTCCTCCACAGCTTTGAGAGGCTGCTCCTCCATGCTGTCTGCCAGTACATGGACCTCATCTCAGCCAGTAAGTGCCTGGCGGCTCTGGGACCCTCCCAGCGAATCAATTCTGCCCATTCTGCCCTCAGAAACCGAGGCTACACGGGATGTTTACTCAGTGGGAGGCTTCTGGAGGTTGGGGGGAGAGCGGAGGGAGAGAGCCTGAACAAAGCAGTGGTAGTGGAACTCTGCGTTAATTCCTCAGAGTACCTGCGGTCCTGGCCTCACACAGGGCGATGCTGTGGACACAGACCCCGCCTCCACCCACATCTTCAGAGCCAGGGCAGGAGAGGGGCCGATGTGAGGGTGATGAAGCTGAGCCTCGAGGGGACCCCGGTGTCCTCATTGAGCCATGCTCCCCTCTGCTGTGCCACACATGACTTCTGGGGCCCGTGTCCCCAGTTACACACGGTGGTTTTGGGACACCACTCTCTAGGGAAGGTGCTTGTAAGCCTTTGCTGCCTGTCTGGCTGTTTTCCTGCCCAGAGTTGCTTAGGAGACAGTTCCCATGGCAACCCAAGATGGTTCAACCACATGCTTGTCTTTGTTCTCAAATATCAGGATGGATAGGGGGCTTCCTGGGGGGGGGGTTTCTGCTGGAGTCCAGCTGGTGCGTGAACATGGCGGAGGAGGGGCCCTGGTAAACTGGGGAGCAGGAGAGAAGGCAGAAGTCTTCAGGTGGGACTGAGCTTCAGAGTCACTGCGAGGGTAGGGATGGAAGCAGGCGAACTGGGAGGAGGCAGGACATTCGTTCCAGGCTGTGAGTGTGCCCTTGGCCTCCAGCCTGGGTATCTCGGGGCATCAGTCTGAACATGGATAAGGAACAGAAAGGAGGAAACGGGTTGCAGATGCAAATTCTCATGGATTTGGAGCTGCTCTTGTGAGCCTGTCATCGTCAGCCAGACCCCAAGTGCCAGCTTGCCATGCCTCTTGCATTTTTTTCATTCTTGCCCTATTTGTCACCTCTTGCAGGTGCCAACCTGGAGGGCAAGAGACAGATGAAGGTCAGCAATCGGCATCTGGACTTCCTGCCCCCTGGGCTGCTCCTGTCCGCTTACCTGGAGCAACGCAGCTGATGCCAATCTACCTGCTCCCCCTTCCCTTCAAGATTTCCTATACCTCCACTAAAATGTTTGTTAATTTTAGAATTTTAGTCATGCTGTCCCCTTGGGATGGCACTCTCACCCTAGCCCCATCCCATCCCAGCTCTTCCAGGGAAATGCTGGCAGCTGGAGCTGCCTCAGACTCTACTGGGCCCACAGCTCCCTGCTCTGGTACTCCTATTTGGGTGGAGAGACCTCAGCCAGCTTTCTCAGCCCAGCCGGAAGCTTACGCGAGGAGGGAGAGGCTAGGTTTTTTATCACTTTTAATGAATTCGGGATGATGTGTTGTAGATTTTAAATTTTTTCTTTTGGGATGAAAAACCAAAAATGCCAACTGATAAATTGGGGGCTTTGTTCTAGTCCCTGCTTGACTTCCCTCCCAGTTTTTGGCTAGAATTGGGAGGGGGGGGGTTGTCTCTGGGGTGCTGCCCCTCATCCCAGGAGCATTACGTGTTGTGTGTGTGTGTGTGTGTGCGTGTGCGCACGTGTGCATGCTGGTGTCCTGCTACCCAGGACAGCAGCTGTGTCTTAAAGGCTGGTTTTACCCTTGTTGGGATGTGTGTTTCCTCCCCAGGTGCCTTTTGGTGGCTCTGGGGGCCCTGCCTGTTCTACAGCCCCTCCCTCCATCGTTCCTCCTCTCTTCACACGGGGAGTCTGGGACTTCCAGCCAGAAGTCTCCACCCCCCACTGCCAACTTCCCCTCTCCGTGTTCCCTCACCACCAGCCCCCTCCCACCCCGCCCCCCAGCCTGAGTCTGGTCTATAGCTTTGGGGTGTCACCCTGACCCGGGCCACAGAAGCAGGGCTGGGGGACACCCCTCCATACACTGCCGTATGTGTGGCTATTGCGCTTTGGGGAAAGTGAATAATTCAATAAATTTCTGGTGCTCTGGTCTCCAGGTGTGGGGTTTTCTTTCGGGGCCAGGCGGCAGGCACGATAGGTGCTCAGGATGTGCATGGGTCCTGATCCCTGAGGGCGGTGGGTCTTGGGGGAGAGCTGAGTTGCTCCTGGAGGGTGAGGCAGGTGGTGGGAGGCTGCTGGGAGCATCTGGGCGTCGGCTCTGCCAGCCTGGCCCTTCCTGGATGTCCAGGTTCAAACCCCAGCTCTGCCACTTTCCAGCTGGATGATCTCCAAAAAGTCACTAGTGTGGTTCCTGGTGTAGCCAGCACAAAACACCACACACCGCCATAAAATATCCCACACTGAGTCTGGAAACAAGGGTTTATGTCTCCCAGTTGGAAGGCCAGCAGTCCAAACTCAAAAGTGTCCCAAGACCTTGCTTCCTCTGGAGGGTCCTTCCTACCTGTCCCAACTCCCAGTGGCTCTGGTGTCCCTTAGTTCCACCTGAAGATGGAGAATTTACATTAATTATGGGGATTTCTGCCCAGGAGGTTTGTCTCTTCTCCCCCATGTATGGATTTATTCAATCATTTTATAGCAATTTGTGAAGCATGGGTATTCTATTTTGGATTATAATGGAGTATTGCATAACTTTGTTATAGAAATGATTCCAAGTTTGGCTCCTGTATCTGTCTGTCTCTCTTTTGTTATTGATTTCAGAGAGGCAGAGAGAGGAAAAAAATATCAATGATGAGAGAGAATCATTTATCGGCTGCCTCCTGCTTGTCCCACACTGGGGATTGAGCCTGCAACCTGGAAATTGAGTCTGAAACCCAGACATGTGCCCTGACTGGGAATTGAACCATGACCTTCTGGTTTCATAGGTTGACACTCAACCATTGAGCCACACTTGTGGGGCTCCTGTCTTTTTTTTTTTTTTCTTTATTGTTGAGAGTTACATATGTCCCCTTTTTCCCACACTAACCCCCTACATATTACCCCCTTACCCCCACCTGTTGCTTCAGGCCTTCACTACCGTATTGTCTGTATCCATGGGTTATGCATATATGTATATAAATTCTTTGGTTAATTACCTCCCACCCACTCCTATGGGGTTTTTATTTCTTGAGCATGATTCTGACTTTCTGCCATTACATGATGCTCAGGCTGGGCTGGTGTGTTTCTCCAAGGAGTCCAATTCCTTATATCAGGGCACCATGTTAGAAACCAGTGGACGCTGGGTGCATTATATTTCATTTTAACATATATATAGTTTTTTTAAAAATATATTTTTATTGATATCCCAAGAAACTAGAAACACCAATCAGAAAGGATATATGCACCCCTATGTTCATAGCAGCACAATCTACAATAGCCAGAATTTGGAAACAGCCTAGGTGCCCGTCAGCAGATGATTGGATCCAAAAATTATGGTACATCTACACAATGGAATACTATGCTGCCATAAAAAAGAAGGAATTCTCATCATTTGCAGCAACCTGGATGGAATTGGAGAACATCATGCTGAGTGAAATAAGCCAATCAATGAAAGAGAGACACCACATGACCTCACTCATTTATGGATAATAAAGAACATTATAAACCGATGAACCAAAAGATAGATATAGAGACAGTAAAGCAACAAGCAGACTGTCAAATTACGGTGGAGAGGGGAGGAAGATCTGGGGGAGATAATAGATCAACCGAAGGACTTGTATACATGCATATAAGTACAACCAATGGACATAAAACTCTGGGGAGGGAGGGTATGTGTGGGAGGGAGAGAGAGGGGCAAAAAAAATCAATATATTAAATATATATATATATATATACATATATATATATTTTTATTGATTTTGTACAGAGAGGAAGGAAGAGAGCGTTAGAAACATCGATGAGAGAGAGTCATTGATCAGCTGCCTCTTGCACACCCCCTACTGGGGATATACCTGCAACCAAGGTACATGCCCTTGACCGGGATCGAACCCGGGACCTTTCAGTCCCCACGCTGATGCTCTATCCATTGAGCCAAACCGGTTTCGGCTGTATAAATAGTTTTAAAGTTAGACACTAAATAACAGAAATCCAAATGGCCAGTATGGAGGATGGACAAACAGATATTTGAGTAACAAGCTCAGAGGCTCCATCTGCAGATGGGACCCATCCCCAGGTTCCCAGAAGATGGGATTGGGTCTCCAGGAGTAGACCTGTGGGGGTTCTTGCCCCTCTGCCCCAGCTCAGTTCCCAAGCTGCCTGGCCTCCATGCCTTCGTCCAGGCTTTGCTTTCAGCCTGGTGCACCCTTCCCTGCAATTCCAAGACCTTCCAAACTGGCGAGAGTCTAGCAGGAATAGAAGCAGCTTGTTGGAGGAGGAAGTGGGGATAGGAGTTTGAATCCACAAGGGTTCTCAATTGGGTAAGTCACCTCATTTTCCCCACCTATGAATAATACAAAAGTAAAGCAAATACAGAATGGAATTTACTAGCTTTGGAAGGAGTTAAGAGATGAGGCCCGAGGTTGGGAGGGCCCTCAAGGCACTTTCTTATCCAGGCTCAGTTTCCCCACCCACGAATATTAGAAAAGCAAAATACTGAACGCTTTATGAGTTTGTGTGGCATTCTAGTTCAAGGGCCATGCTAATCCTTTCTGTATCGTCCCGATTTGGTATAGCATTAGCGAGGGGCTGAACCCAGGACTATTGACAGGACATATAAATACTTCCCACTAAGGGCAACCCATCTTGATATGCTATCAGTGCAGCACCTAAGGGGATCTTTCACTGGCGTTGAAACAGTGCTCGTTATTCTAACCAGACTCAGGTAGCTGCTGGGAGTGTACACACAGGCCCGGAAGTGGGGCGGAGCCAGAGCCCCGCCGTCCCAGAAACCTCCGGGAAGCGGCCGCGCGGCGCGGCGACTCGTTGGTCCCGGGGAAGATGGCGGCACCGGCGCCGGGGAGGTAAGGCGAATGCGGGCTGCGGCCGCAGCGCCCTGACCGGCCCGGTGAGCAAGAGGCACGGGGGCCAGAGGGGTCGGCCGGCCTCCGGACGTCCCCTCACCCCCGGAGCGCGTGCCGGAGGAGGCGGGGCCTCGGGGGCCTGGGGCGGGGCCTGCAGGGTCAGAGGGCGGGCCGGAAAAGCAAAGGGTGCTGGGTAAGCGGCCTGGGCGTGGCCTGGGCTTGTTGCCGGAGTGGGGTCCTCAGCCGGGGGTGGGGGGAAATCGCAGCGGGGCCTAAGGGTTGTTTCTCTCTGGGGAGGGTCCTAGGCGAATTGGGGGCGGAGTTTAACGTGTTTTTTTTGGGGGGTGGGGGTTGGGAGTTGGGTTTTGGGGGCGGGACCTAGTGGTTGTCTGTGGTCCCTGGCTGGGCCCGGAGTTGAAGGGGAGACTTGGAGGCGGAACCTGGAGGGCGCGGGTGTGGGGATGGGGTCTGGAAAGCAAAAGGTGTTAGGGGCGGGGCTGGAGGACTTTGGGATCGGGATGGGATGATGCCCAACAACTGAGCCACACTGGCCAGGGCACATGTCACTTGTGACTTTTGAAAGCCTCTAAGGTGCATGCCCACCACAGTCTTCTCTCCATCATCTGAGCAATGTGCACCTGTTAGAGAAAATTAGAAAAGCACAGACATTTAGGATAAAGGGAATCACCTATTATCTTCCACAGAGAAGCACACTGTTAGAATTTTGGGGTCGTTCTCTTCCCGTTCTGTTTTCTGGGTCTTTAAAACACGTGGTTGTAGGCACACTGATGGCAGTTGGGGAACCCCTGCGGTGAAGCCTTTGAGTTCAGGCTGGACCTGGAGATTCTAGAGGCAAGTTGGGTGCGGGGTCTGGAAAGCAAAGATTGAAGGGGAAGGGGAAAGAGGGCTTTGGGGGCGGGGCCTGAGGAATTCGGACGTGGGATTTGTGATTGAAAAAAGCGTTTATCATACTTCATGGGGCTTTTTAATGGTGAAAGGAAATAACCCATAATCGATGCCGGGCACATAGCACTGAGGGGATGTTCACCGTTATTGTTACTCTTACAATCCATAAGTTCACAACAAAAACACACCAAAAATATAAATGCTGACTTCCCCCAACCTGTCTCCCCAACTCTGCCGAAAGTAGCCCCACGGGTGCCTTCCTTATGGATAGACCCAGGTCTGACCTCTTCTCAATTTCCACTGCTCACCTGGACCAGTGCAGTCACTTCACCCCATTCCCCAGCTGCATCCTCCAGACAGAGGAGGATCCTGCTGAAATAGAAATAAATCACTGCCTTCTGGGACTTGTAGGCCATGCAGGGGGAAGCCAGGACCCTGCACTGTCGCCCCCACCCTTCCCTGAATAAAGAGGCCACTTTTTAAACAGCCCGGGCTCCATCCATCCTCCGTGCCTTTGCACTGGCTGTTCCCTCCACCCGCAGTACTCTTCCCCAGATGGCTGCATGCCTCTGTGTGTTCCCTTGCACCTATGCTCACATGTCTATTCCCCGGTGAGGCCTCCCTTACCCTCTGTTTAAAATGCAGCCTTCTTCCCTGACACACGCATGTAAGACCAAGGGCAGGGATTGGGTCCTTTTCCTTCCTCATGGTGACCCAGCAGCCAGCATGGCAGTCAGCACCTTGCAGGCACTTGGCAAAGGCAAGCCAGCCCTCCCTGCCACTTCCTCCTTCAGGTGGTCATTCTCTTCCTCAGGTGACTGCTCTCAGTGTGCGACCTGTGGCAGGCGGGCACAATGGACCTGGCTTATGTCTGCGAGTGGGAGAAGTGGCCCAAGAGCACCCACTGTCCGTCAGTGCCCCTGGCCTGCGCCTGGTCCTGCCGCAACCTCATCGCTTTCACCACGGACCTTCGGAATGACGACCAGGGTACACCCTTCACCTCCAGCCCGGCTCCCATTCCCTCTTCTCCCCTCTAAACGCGTTGTTATACCCCTGGCTCCCATGGTGCCTGCCGTGGGTGACTCCATGTCTCTAGCCTGCCTGGTAGCCACCTCCAACCTGCCCGGGCCCTTTCAGTCCTTCCTCATTCACAATTGGGGGGTGGTGAGGGCCCCAGCCTCTCAGGTGTGCCAAGGGCAGATGCATTGAACAGATGGTGCAACCTAAGTGAGCCTTCTATTTAATGATGCTTGCTCTCCTCGGTGAACCACCTCCCATTTAACTGTGGCTGCTTACCTCAGTGAGCCACCCATCTTAACGATGGCTCTGTGATGGTGCTCTCCTACACCTGGTGCCTGGGGGGCACTGGGATCACCCCTGCAGGATAGAAGGGGGGGAAGGTGAGCATTTTACTCAGGCTTGTTGGAGATTTGAGTCTCACTTTCCATACCTTACATATCACTTTTTAAAATATCTATGTTTTTGTTGATGTTGAGGAGGGAGCAGGAAAGGGAGAAATATTGATGTGAGAGCAAAGCATTGATCGCTGCCTCCTGCATGCCCTCCATTGAGGATTAAGCCCACAACCTGGGCATGTGCCCTGACTGGGAATTGAAGCAACAACCTTTTTGGTGCATGGGATGATGCCCAACAACTGAGCCACACTGGCCAGGGCACGTGTCACTTGTGACTTTTGAAAGTCTCTAAGGTGCATGCCCACCGCAGTCCTCTCCCCATCATCTGAGTAATGTGCACCTGTTAGAGAAAATTAGAAAAGCACAGACATTTAGGATAAAGAGAATCACCTATTATCTTCCACGGAGAAGCACACTGTTAGAATTTTGAGGTCATTCTCTTCCCTTTCTGTTCTCTGGGTCTCTAAAATAAAACACGTGGTTGTAGGCGCACTGATGGCAAACTTGCAGGCCTGCTCTTTTTCCCGAGGGAGCACAAGCCTGTGCCTCATTAGTTCCCAGGCTGAGCATATGGTCAGCAGCATCTCCATGACTTCCCTTTGGGTGAGAATTGCTGGGTTCCTCCGTGACTTCAGAGCCACATCGTTGTCACTGAACTGACCATACCCCGTCCCGCCTCCTGCAGACCTGACCCGCCTGATCCACATTCTGGACACGGAGCACCCCTGGGACGTGCACTCCGTCAGCTCCGAGCACAGCGAGGCCATCACCTGCCTTGAGTGGGACCAGTCAGGTGAGGGGGGGCTGGTAGGGTTGGTAGGGTCCTGTGTGGCTGAAGGAGACCATAGTGATGCTCACACTTGATCCGGAATCCCAGGGAGACGTGTTCTGTATTTCTTTGGTCTGTCCTCAGAGGCAGAGCTGGGACTGGAACCTTCAATTTACAGCTTTGCAGCTACTGCTTTTCCTGTTCCCGTGTTCAGAGCCATTTCTGCATCAGCCTTGTGCCACTCCCCCGCTCCATCTCACTGGACTGGCTTCTCCCAGGCCTTTGAAGTACCGCGGGTAATAGTGCTTGCAGGGGATTTGTGACGCAGGTTTGCTTCACACAGGCTCCCGGCTCCTGTCAGCTGATGCCAATGGACAAATCAAGTGTTGGAGCATGGCGGACCACCTGGCCAACAGCTGGGAGAGCTCTATGGGAAGCCTGGTGGAGGGGGACCCCATCGTGGCCCTGTCTTGGCTGCACAATGGTGTGAAGCTGGCCCTGCACGTAGAAAAGGTGGGTGTCTGCCTGAGTAAATGTGGTAGGTGAAACCACTTACTTTATCCATCCGTCTGTCAACTTGGCTCCTCCTCCCCCAACACCAGCATCTTCTGTTGTTCCTTTTTTCTTTTTCTTTTTTTAAAGAAAAAATATATAGCCGAAACCAGTTTGGCTCAGTGGATAAAGTGTCGGCCTGCGGACTGAAGGGTCACAGGTACGATTCCGGTCAGGGGCATGTACCTTGGTTGTGGGCACATCCACAGTAGGGGGTGTGCAAGAGGCAGCTAATTGATGTTTCTCTCTCATCAATGTTTTTAACTCTCTATCTCTCTACCTTCCTCTCTGTAAAAAATCAATAAAATACATTTAAAATATGTGTGTGTGTGTGTGTGTGTATATATATATATATATATATATATATATATATATATATATTATTTCAGAGAGGAAGGGAGAAGGAGAGAGAGAAACATCAATGATGAGAGAGAATCCTGCATACCCCCTACTGGGGATCGAGCTACAACTTGGGCATGTACCTCTGACTGGAATCGAACCCAGGACCCTTCAGTCCCGCAGGCTGACACTCTGTCCACTGAGCCAAACTGGCTAGGGCAGTGGTCAGCAAACTCATTAATCAAGTGGCAAACCTTGGCTCGCGAGCCACAGTTTTCCGACCACTGGGCTAAGGCATCTTCTGGTTTTTTGAACCTGGGGCCTGGCTCATACCTTTTATCAAGCTGTCAGTTGGCACTTGTGTTTTCAATGGGCCACCTGTTTAACTGATGGCTGCTGTCCTCAGTGAATCTTCCATTACACTGTACTGAGAACCCAGCCCACACTGTGATTCAGTAATATTCCAGAATTCCTCTCTCTGTGCCCTGGTTCAGCGCAGCGTCATAGTTAGCGCATTGCCGGCCAGTAGTTTTATTGCTAGCTTTACCCCGTGACCAGAGAAGTTTCTATTGAATGAATACAAAAAACGTTTTACATAAATGTTAAAGGCATGCTTTAAAATTAAATACCCATTGCATTTTGAAATTACTTATTACATGTTCTCACAAGCTAATATTTTTTAAAGTATGATACTTTGTAAAACACTGTGTAATATGAAGCGAGAATTCTTGTGATCCGTCGCAGTGTGCTAAGACTGAAGCCTCCTGGATCAAGGGAAACCTGAGTTAAAATTCTGACTTCATGCCTATATGCATCACTTTACTTATTACCAAATGGGGCTCTTGGTGGGTCCTGGTAAGGATTCATTGAGAGAATGCATGAGGGGAGTCAGCCTGGGGCCTGGCACAGGTCAGAGGCCCAGGAACCTGCATTCTGACAGGAGAGGGGTGTACCACTTAGAGAAACCCTGTGTAGCCGCCAGCTCAGTGCTGTTTCAGTGACTAAACAGCACAGACACAGCTCACAAGTGCCATGCTGAGGGAAAGAAACCAGGCCTAGAGGCTGCACACTGGTTCCACTCGGGTAAAATTCTAGAAAAGGCAAAACTAACACACAACCAAGACCCAGGGTAGGGTGGCATGAGGGCCCTTTTGAGGGGAGTGGATTCTGGTCATGATTTTAGTGGTTTTCCATGACAATACACTTGTCAAGTCCCATGGAACCATATGCTTAAAAAAGAGTGAATTTTGTTGCACATAAATTGTAGCTTAACCCTAATTTGACATAAAACAGTAATAAAATAGCAGCAGCCAGTACTTTTATGGTGCCTCCTAAATTCTTAATGCAGGGTCTGCGCATACAGCCAGCGGGCCGCGTGCAGCCCCACCTGTTTCTGTGAACAGTCTTATTGGCAGCGACTTCTACAAACTCAGAGAAAGAGCAGGCAGTTCCAGCAGAGGCCACCCGGCCTGCAAACCTCAAATATCGCGTGTCCGGCCCCTTACAGGAGAAGCTTGCTGACTCCTGTCCTTCATGTATTCAGTCATTTGACTCTCAGCAGGGTCCTCAAAGTGCAGATGAGGAAACCGAGGGTCAGAGAGGCCCATATGACAGTGCTCAAGTGGCCGAGGCAGGATTTGAATTCAGGTCCACGCTTTTGTAGCTTCTCCCTCGTTGTTCTCTGTTTCTGTGGGTGTGACTCGCAGAAGGGGGTCACAAGAGGCAGACCCCTGACAGCCCCATGGGGCATCTTTCCTCCCGCCCCCAGTCAGGTGCCTCCAGCTTCGGGGAGAAGTTCTCCAGGGTCAAGTTCTCACCGTCGCTCACCCTGTTCGGGGGCAAGCCCATGGAGGGCTGGATCGCAGTGACAGTCAGCGGCCTGGTCACCGTGTCCCTGCTGAAGCCCAGCGGGCAGGTGCTGACGTCGACGGAGAGCCTGTGCCGGCTGCGTGGCCGAGTGGCCCTGGCCGACATTGCCTTCACGGGCGGCGGCAACATCGTGGTGGCCACGGCGGATGGCAGCAGCGCCTCCCCCGTGCAGTTCTACAAGGTGTGCGTGAGTGTGGTGAGCGAGAAGTGTCGCATCGACACCGAGATCCTGCCCTCGCTCTTCATGCGCTGCACCACCGACCTCAACCGCAAGGACAAGCTCCCCGCCATCACCCACCTCAAGTTCCTGGCCCGAGACATGTCTGAGCAGGTGAGGCCTCCTGGGACGCGGCCACAGTGCCCACATTTCTCATCTCCAGTCCTGGATCGGGAGTCCAACATCGGGAGTCACGGGGCTAACCCCAGGTGTGGGCAGGGCTGGTCCTTCCAGAAGCTCCAAGGAAAACCGTTTCCAGCCTTTTCCAGCTTCTAAAGGGGCCGTATCCCTGGTTCTTGGCACCTTCCTCCATCTTTTTTTTTTTTTTTATATTTTATTGATTTTTTACAGAGAGGAAGAGAGAGGGATAGAGAGTTAGAAACATCGATGAGAGAGAATCATCGATCAGGTGCCTCTTGCACCCCCCCCACTGTGGATGTGCCAATAACCAAGGTACGTGCTCTTACCGGAATTGAACCCTGGACCATGCAGTCCCCAGGCCGACGCTCTATCCACTGAGCCAAACCGGTTTCAGCACCTTCCTCCATCTTCATAGCCAGCACAGCCTCTACCATCTCTGACCCTTTCGCCTCTGTGAGGACTCTGTGATGACACGGCTCCTCAAGGACTCCAGAATGGTCCCTATCTCAGAGTCCTTGACTTAATCCCACCCGCAAAGCCCACATGTCCCAGGTCCTGAGACCAGGAGAGGAATGTGTTTCAGGCTGTTATTCAGTTGACCCCACTAAGTCACTATGTTCCCATCATAACAATGCACGATGAGAGAGAGGCCTACAGTAAGGCCTAAAGTAGCAGGGAGGGCACCATGAGGTGATGTGTACGGTTCCAGCGGAGTGGTGGGTAGGTAGGCTTGGGTTCGAGTCCACAGTGGCTGTGAGGCCAGGGCCAGTGTGAGTGACTGAGGAGACACGGGCCTGGGGAGGGAAGGCAGCTAGATAAGGCAGGCCAGCGTCTGAGCCTGGGCTATAGCCAGCCCTCCCGTAAGGTGTGAATGCCCAGGTGCCGCCGCCTCCTCAGTCACCCCTTTCCTCCCAGGTGCTCCTGTGCGCGTCCAGCCAGACCAGCAGCATCGTGGAGTGCTGGTCCCTGCGGAAGGAGGGGCTCCCCGTGAACAACATCTTCCAGCAGATCTCTCCTGTGGGTGAGTCTCCTCGGTGGCACTGGGCATTTGACTTTTAAATTGGGGAAACTTGGGTTCAGAGAGGTCAAGTCCTTACTTGTAGTCACCCAGCAGGCAGCCCGGCCACACAACCTGAAACCTTAGGGCGGGGCGGGTTGGTGGAGGAAGAGCAGAGCAAAAGTCCTGGGCACAGAGCCTGGAGCGGAACCAGCGCAGCAGGCGGGATTGGCTGCAGGGAGTCACTTCATCCTAAAAGCCGTGGAATCTTGCAGAAACCCTGGTTTAGAGTGAGGAAACTGAGGCTGGAGGCTTACCTGAGTTTACCAAGAACAAGCCTACAGTCTCACCTCCCTCTCCCCATCCTTTCCCCCATGGGGAGACCATGGCTCAGGATGGCCCCAAGGCTGGCAACCTCTCCCCAGTGCAGACCCCGCAACTCACTGGCCTGGCCCGGCCTGAAGTCAGCGGGAAGCTGGAAAAGCTACTGGTTTTCAACCCCTGATGGCGGCGCTGTGGGGGGTTACCCTGCGCTGAGACGCAGATGCTGAGACGCAGATGTAGATGTTTTCCTGGCAAAAGAAAGCCCTGCTTTTTGCTGATTAGTGCTAATGGACTCTGGGGCAGTTGGGTGTTGGGGGGCGGGCTGCTGCTGAACAAAAGCTGCTAATGAAGCTGTGTCAAGAGGCCCCTTGAGGCTCCCTTCGCTGCTCACGGTGGTTACATAAGCTGCCCTGTGGCTGCGGAGTAATTAACTGGAGAGGGCCACACTGCCCTGTCCCTGGGCAGGCCTCCCAGGGAGCTTTTACACGTGGACCGGCCCACAGGGGGCAGGCGGGGCTGCATTAGTGCCTCCGCGGGCCGCAGGGGGCCAGGAAGGGTTTAAATGCTGGGCACAGTTCCCAGCTCACAAGTCCTCCCTGGAAGTCGGCTGTGGTTGTTACCTTGACACTTTAGTGTCTTCCATGCCAGCTACTGCAATCCACTCTAACCTCTCTGGGCTGCAGTGTCTCCTGAGGGACAGCATTTGCCAAGAGTCCTTATGGGTTTATAGACTGTGAGGAGCCACCTGGGGCACAAACCTGGACATAGATGGTGACAGAGATGAGCCTTCTGACAGTAACAAACCACAGCCCAGCCCTGGCCAGTTTGGCTCAGTTTGTATAGTGTTGGTCCATAAGCAGAAGCATCGTGAGTTTGATTCCCGTCAAGGACACTTACCTGGGTTGCATGTTCGATCCCCACCCCTGTTGGGGTGTGTGCTGGAGGCAACCAATCGATGTATCTCTCTCATGTCAATATTTCTCTCTTTCTTTCTTCCTCTTTCTCCCCTCTTCTCCCTCCCTTCCACTCTCTCTAAAAATCAATGGAAAATATAGCTTCAGGAGAGGATTAAAAAAATACCCCACTAACAACAAAAAACCACAGCCCATACTATTCTAGGCTGGGTCACCTGGCTGCACCTACTTGGTGCCTTTAGCCTCTGGGCTCAGGCTGCTGACCAGCTGGGCCCATCCTCCCAGGCGCACACCCCGCAGCCCAGTCTGCTACTCAGTGTCCTGGGCACAAGCACCGTCTGACCCTTTACTTACATCACCTTCACCAGCACCCACTGGCCAAGCCCAGATCCACAGAAATCAGCCCCCTTCTTGTTGGGGCAGGGGCTTCAGTGTCACCCTGAGGGTGTGGGTGCAGGAAGGGGTGCATCTTATCTGATGGGAAGAGGAGGGGTCCTCCCTAGCATCTCTTGGATCATAAGGGATAAAACCAAACCTAAACTGGCTGAGTTATGAGGGGAATTTGGGGCGGCAGGATAAGGAGGGTGGTGTCCCCCTTCTCAGTGTGTTGGGTCCATCAAGTGGGCACCCACTCCCACCAGCTGACAGCTTCCTGAAGGATACCTCCTCCCCATCCCCAGGAGGTCCCAGGATTGAGTTCTGTTGGCCGCCTTGGTCAGATACCCGTCCTGCACCAACTACCTGGCTGGGGCATGATGTACTGGGTGGCCAGGGCCGGGGGAGGGCCCCTGTGGGGGACAGGCACTGGGATCAGAGGAGGGGACTTGGTCACTGTCGGGGGGCTCCCCATCGTGTGTTTGTCTTGTCTTCATTCCATTGCTGTCTGTGTCCCTGCCCCCTTTTCAGTTGGCGACAAGCAGCCCATGATTCTCAAATGGCGGATCCTGTCAGCCACCAACGACTTGGATCGCGTGTCTGCCGTGGCACTGCCCAAGCTGCCCATCTCGCTCACCAACACTGACCTGAAGGTGGCCAGCGACACGCAGTTCTACCCTGGCCTTGGTACGGTGGTCTCGGAGCTGCCTCTGGTCTCCAGTCAGTTCCTCACTTTCAGGATCAGACAAGCTCAAAGGGCTGTGAGGCTGGCTGATGGAAAGCTGCTTCTTTAGCTTATAAAGGGCAGTTAGAAATCAATCTGGCAGATGTTGGAAACTTGGGGGCAAACTTTCCAGTTAAGCAGCTGAGACGTTAATCCTGGGTTCAGTGCCTGGAGCCTGTGACCATGGGTGAATCAGGCAGAAGCACTGGGAGGCTAACAGCCCAGCCCTGTTACACGTTCATTAAAAGCTTTGGGCTTCCTGTCCCACTGCTGCTTCTCAGACATGGCTGGAAACTTTCGTGGGAACTTGAGGGTCTGCTGAATCAAGTGATGAAGGCTTAGATCTGGATGTGTTGAGTTAGTATAAGGCCGGGGTGTTGATCTGTGAGTGCCTTGGGTGGGGCCTGGATGAGGCTGGTGGACCTATTGGGAAATGTCTTTTGTGTGAAGTGTATCATTGGGCTTGTGGAGGTATTATTGATTTGAGAAAATGCTAAGTAACTGATTTACTATCTGAAAAGGGATTTACTATTGGGGAAAGGGAGGGAAGAAGAGACTGAACATAAACTGCACCTATGGATGAGGACAATGGGGGATGGGGAGGGGTCGGAAGGTGGGGTGGGAACCTGGTGGAGGGGGGAAGAAATGAGGAACCTTTGTAATAATATGAACAATAAAGATTGATTAAAAAAAAAACAAAAAAAAAACTTTGGGCTTGAGGAGCCCCTGACCTTACTGAGGGGCTGTGAGGCTCTTCGTGTGCGCCTGTCCCCTCCACTTTACCCCCTGGGAGTTGTGCGTTTGCTCACATCAGCTAAAACCTAGTGCCAGCCCCAAAGGGACCGGGGATATGAGCCTGAACGGGCGGTGGCTGCTCCACTGACTCTCATAGGCTGGTAGCAAAGGCAGAGGGGGCAACAGCTATGGGGGCAGCCACCAGACATGGGGTGATGAGCCCTTTGTGGCTTTGGGCTCACCCAGCCCCAGAGTCGTCCAGCTGCCTGTGGGCCTGTTCTAGGTCCTTCCTGCCCCTGAGCCTGCATGTGCCCCGCCCCCAGGTCTGGCCCTGGCCTTCCATGACGGTAGCGTCCACATCGTGCACCGGCTGTCGCTGCAGACCATGGCCATCTTCTACAGCTCCACCGCCCCGCGCTCCATGGATGAGCCAGCTATCAAGCGCCCGCGGACCACGGGCCCCACCGTCCACTTCAAGGCCATGCAGCTGTCCTGGACCTCCCTGGCCCTCGTGGGCATTGATAACCACGGGAAGGTAAGCACTGTGCCAGGTGCTCCAAAGCTGCCCACTTAGTGTGGTGGGCGGGAGCACCCCCGTCTCCTCCCACTGGCTGTCCTGGAGGAAATGGGCTCCATCTGGTCACTGTCAGGCGATGCCACTTGTTCTGGTATCTACCTGAATCCTGGGTCATCTCCTCACCCTGCACTGAGGGGTCATCAGCCGTCCACAGGCCTGTCTTGTTTGAGGTGCTCAGCTTCCCTGGGGAACTGCGTCTGTGTCTGGAGGTCCCCACGCCCCCTCCCTCATGGGTTTGTGTCCATCACGTGTTCATTTGTGTCCTAAATGAAGGCACCAGTAACTCCAAATGTGCCTGAGGGTACAGGGTGGCCTCTTGGGCTGTTTTTGGGAAGCACTTCCACACCCCAAGCTCGGACTGCCCACACAGCAGCAGGACCGTAAGCCCTCGGAGGGACATGGTGCCCGGAGCCTTAGGCGGCCTCACCTGCCGTTCCCTCCCCCACAGCTGAGCATGCTGCGCATCTCGCCCTCCATGGGCCACACGCTGGACGTGAACCTGGCCCTGCGACACTTGCTTTTCCTGCTGGAGTACTGCATGGTGACCGGCTACGACTGGTGGGACATCCTGCTGCACGTGCAGCCCACCATGGTGCAGAGCCTGGTGGAGCGGCTGCACGAGGAGTACACGCGCCAGAAAGCTGCCCTCCAGCAGGTAGTGTGGGGCCACGTGCCATCACCGGACAGGATGCCCCTCCCTTCTTCCCTAGTCCTTTATCAGGAGAGATTTCTGCAGGAAGTCAGAGCCCCATAGGTGACACGTGAGCCCCTGGGGCCACCGCCTCTGCTGCCAGTGGGGGCTTGGAGTGCACATGTGTGCACGCATGTGGAGCTGGGGGTTCCTCATGAGACAGGAGCAAGAAGCAGCTTAGAGATCAGGAAGGAAGAGAGAACCATGACCCGGAGACATGATTGTGTGCCTGTGAGACCAAGTCACCTCGAGGGCCCTGACCTCCAGCGTGAGCAGCATGGAGGCTGCAGAGGACAGTTCCAGAAGCGGTAGCTTTCCTCTGTGCCAGCGATGACCAGTAAGGCAGCGAAGTGGGGAAAGGACCCCCATCGGAGCAGCCTGTGGGGCTGAGTGGATTATTCGGGTGGATGTGAGGGTGCAGTACAGGTTCAGGGCTGATTGCAGTGGAAATAAAATCACTGCTGGCGGTGATGACTTCCCCATGACAATATGCCGCTCGCTAAGGATCTCCTCCGTCCCTCTCCTGAGGAGGAGAAGAGGAGACACGAGAAGAAGCGCCTGGTGCAGAGCCCCGGTTCCTGCCTCATGGCTGTGAGAGGCCCAGGAGGCTGTAAAATCACCACCGCTTCCGCCAGGCACAGATGGTAGTTTTGTGTGCCGGTTGCTCCATTGTTCTCTGTCAGCCACCAGGAGGAAAAGCAAGGCCTACAGAAGGGTGCTCCTTCAGAGGGAAGCAGCACTAAAAGCATCTCAAATCAAGATGAGTGGGAAACCATCCCAATAAACACATTTTGGATTTTTTTAATTTTTTTTTTTTAAATCACTGCTCATGGGCAGTAAGTAACCTAAAGCATTTTAATTCTTTCGTGCATTCACCCATCCCATGAGACCAGGTCTCCCCTCGGCACTGCTGACATCTGGGCCAGGTCCGCGGAGGGGGAGCCGTCCTGGACACAGTGGGGTGTTGAGCAGCCCCCACCCACTCAATGCCAGGCACACCCCCAGTGTGACAGCTACAGATGTCCCCAAAGGAAGCCTTAGTGTCCCCTGGGGGCAGGGCCACCCCCAGGTTGACTCCTCCCCATTCTGTGAGAGGTTCTCTTTTCTGATTCTGCCACAGGGAGGTAAGGCACAAAGACACAAGCAGGTTGCCTCAGCTTGCCCCGCCCAGCTCCACACTGTGGCAAAGTGACTTCCTCACGCTACCTCCCCCTCCCCCCAGGTCCTCTCCACCCGGATTCTGGCCATGAAGGCTTCGCTCTGCAAGCTCTCGCCCTGCACCGTGACCCTGGTGTGTGACTACCACGCCAAGCTCTTCCTCATCGCCATCAGCTCCACTCTCAAGTCCCTGCTGCGCCCACACATCCTCAACACCCCCGACAAAAGCCCCGGCGACCGGCTGACGGAGATCTGCACCAAGATCACAGACGTCGGTGGGTCCTGCCCCCGCCCGGCAGGCCCCCCTCAGAGCTGCTGCACAGGCACAGCTGTGTGCGAGCATGTCCTACATCCCACCCACACGCTGTCCCACACGCTGTGGGGCGGTAACTGAGGGGAGTGGAGGCCCTGGCCCTCAGGGCTGGCCTGGAGCTGGGGCAGATGTTAACCAGCAGGGAACCGGATGAGTCATGCTGGGGAGGAGCTGCAAGGGGCCCAGTGCAGGTTGGCCCGAGGGACATTGTGGTTGTCTGAGAGTTGGAGTGGACACTGTTGCTCTAGGTCCAGCCCTCTCCTCCAAGCTCTCAGCTCAGCCATCTTGTCCACTTGCTTGTTCACAGTGTTGGGTTGACCTCGTCAGGCCCAGCTCACATTGGGTGCTGGTGGGTAACAAGAGGCCCAGCCACCTGACCACCCTCCCCTTCCAGATATCGACAAGGTCATGATCAACCTCAAAACAGAGGAGTTTGTCCTGGACATGAACACGCTTCAGGCGCTGCAGCAGCTCCTGCAGTGGGTGGGCGACTTCGTGCTCTACCTGCTGGCCAGCCTGCCCAACCAGGTGTGCCCCCTCCCGAGTCCTCCCGAAGCCCCGTGGGGGGACAGGGTGCGGCACACATTTAAACAGCCAGCCTGGGTGCCTTCCGCAGGGCGCCCCGCTGCGGCCGGGACACAGCTTCCTGCGGGACGGCACCTCGCTCGGCATGCTGCGGGAGCTGATGGTCGTCATCCGCATCTGGGGCCTGCTGAAGCCCAGCTGCCTGCCCGTGTACACCGCCACCTCCGACACGCAGGACAGCATGTCCCTGCTCTTCCGCCTGCTCACCAAGCTCTGGATTTGCTGTGAGATTCCCAGCCCCCACCAGCACATAAACCCTAGCTGAGTCCCCCCCACCAGCGTATAAACTTCCACAAATTGAACCAGCTCTCTCTTAGTCTCTGCTGTTTACCCAGCACCCAGCGCAGGTCCGAGCACGGGGTGGGTGCTCATAAACATCAGCTGTTTTTGGCGCCTAGCGGCTGGTCTCGAGTCACCAGATTACATTTCCGTTGTCCTTGCGGCCCTGTTCCTAGCAAGGCACCCGGTGGTCACAGTGTTTTCCAAATGAGTGAGTGAGTTCCCATTTTATAGCGAAGGCCAGAGAGAGGGAGGGCTTCCAGGGCAGCTCTGAAAGCCAGGTCAGAGCTGGGCCCAAACCTGGTCCCTGAGCACGGGGCTGACCACCACATCCCCATGGTCCCCTCTGCAGGCCGTGATGAGGGCCCCACAAGTGAGCCAGACGAGACACTCGTTGATGAGTGCTGCCTGCTGCCCAGCCAGCTGCTCATTCCCAGCTTGGACTGGCTGCCCGTCAGTGACGGCCTGGTCAGCCGCCTGCAGCCCAAGCAGCCCCTGCGCCTGCACTTCGGCAAGGCCCCCGTTCTCCCCAGCAGCGCCACCACCTTGCAGCTGGACGGCCTCATCAGGTGCGTGCCCTCTGCCTCGCGCCCTTTCCACATTCTTTCCGGAGGGTTCCCCCCACTGAACCTACCGACTCCTTCATGCTTCCGCCTCAGGGCTGTGTGCTGTGCCTGCTGCTTCCTTCTGACCTTGACCCAAATGCTGTCGCTGGGAGAGGTCCCTAGCTTAGGCAGTGAATTCCCACCACCACCACCTCCTAGTATCTGTCACTTCTCTCCAGTTTTTTTTTTTCTTTATCTTTAAATTTTTAGAAAATTCTATTGATTTCAGAGAGGAAGGGAGAGCGAAAGAACACAGAAACATCAATGATGAGAGAGAATCATTGATCTGCTGCCTCCTGCACACCCCCTACTGGGGATTGAGCCCACAACCCTGGCATATGCCCTTGACCGGAATTGAACCCAGGACCCTTCAGTCCACAGGCCGATGCTCTATCCACTGAGTCAAACTGGCTGCGGCCATCACCTCAGTCTTCACTGCTGTGTGCACTCAGGTATCCATGTAACACCGAGTCCTCCCCCTGGCTTGTCACCTCTTGCATGCAATGCCCACATGGCTGGTCGTAGTTACTTGGGCTCCAGCCTCTGAGCCCCCGACTGTAAAGCACATCCGGTCTGGTGCCGGCCCCGGCAGACACTAACTCAGGCAGGACCATCACAGGGCTGCGGGGAACTCACACAGTCAAGGGCCGGCCCTGTCTTTGGAAACGGGTCTGGATAGCTGCTGAGTTAATCCTTCACTGCCCACAGTACTATAGCGGGGGCAGGAGGTTTGTCCCATTTACAGAGGAGTCAACAGCTCGGAAAGGTTCAATCACGCCCTGGCTGGTGTGGCTCAGTTGGTTAGGCATCGTCCCATGCACCAAAAGGTTACTGGTTCGATCCTTGGCAGGGGCGTGCAGGAGGCAGCCAAGCAATTTACGTTCTCACATCAGTGTTTCTCCTTCTCCCTTTCCTATTCTCTCTATAAAAATCAATTAAACAAAAAAACAAAAATAAAAGGTGCCATCACTGAGCCAGGGTTGCAACCAGGAACTCTGGAACCCTGGGCCACCATCCTCTGCACCGGGACCCATCGGACTCTCACCCCACTCAGTGCCCGTTGGATGGAGAAATACACATGACCTCCCAAGTATCCTGTTCCTTTGAAAGTTTCAGAAAACACGAGTGAGCCCTGGCTGGGAGGCTCGGTTGGCTGGAGTGCTGACCTGTACACCAAAGGTTGCAGGTTCAATTCTCTGTCAGGGCACGTAACCTCGGTCGTGCGCTCAATCCCTGGTTGGAGGCAACCAATTGATGTTTCTCTCTCCCTCCCTCTCCCTTCCTCTCTGAAAATAATCAGTAAACATATCCTTGGGTGAAGGTAAAAAAAGTAAATAAAACGGGTGAATAAAAGAAATAACCATTCACACCCTGGTCCCACCTCTGGGACCGCCCTGCATCTCCTTTCCGTGTCACACGCTGATGAATCGCAGGCTTCCCTCTTTGGGGGTTCAGAAAAGTCTTTATGAATGAGTATGCTGGTTACAGAGAGGTTTAAAACCCTTTGTTCTGGAAACTTCCAAACATGCTTTAAACAAATATAACCAATTGTCCTGCCCCAGCCACCAGGTCCACTCCTGCAGAAGCTCCTACTGCCAGGCTCTCTGTGTCATCCAGGGTGTCCGGCGCCGTCCCTGCAGGGTGTCTGTGTGGAGAGGGAGTGTGGATGCACACCTGCCTGCACACTCCCTTGTGTTTTGCCACAGTGGGTGTGTCGTGTGTGCATGCATCTGTGTTCACATGTGTGCACAGGTGCACGCATCTCTCTGTGTGTTGTGGGGTTGGAGGCCTGATTTCCTTTGCTCTCTCCTCTCATCGGCCAGGGCATCGGGCCAGCCCAAGATCGACCACCTGCGGAGGCTGCACCTGGGAGCCCACCCCACGGAGGAGTGCAAGGCCTGTACGAGGTGAGCCGCCCACTGAGGACCCTTTGTCAGTCCCGTGGCAAACACTGTGCCCACTCTGCCACCAGCTGCCACCGGGTGTGAGGTTTCTGTCTGTGAACTTCACTTTCCCCACTTGTGGAGCTGCCCAGAGGGCACACAGGCAGTTTCTGTAACGGACGAACTGCCTGGGGGTGGGGGGAGGCTGGGCTTCCTTTCCGGGGCACAATGGCGATCAGGGGACCACACAGCCCTGGCAGAGCTCCTGGTGCAGGAATAAAGCCCAGCCACAGCAGCCTGATCTCTGCCATGCGATCCCAGTCGCAGGTCACCCCACTAGGGCGTGTCTAAGCCAGGACTAGAATCCCTGCCCTTGCCACGGTCACTGAGGGAGGTGAAGGGCGATGCCTGAACTTGGACGGGAGGATATGGAAGAGTCAGCTCAGTGTGAGGAGAGCGCACGGAATAGTATGTGCAGAGGCCCAGTGGCAGGTGAGAGAGGGCCCTGCCAGCACACGCTGCCACCCGGGTCTGTCTGCAGGTGTGGCTGTGTCACCATGCTCAAGTCGCCCAACAAGACAACAGCCGTCAAACAGTGGGAACAGCGCTGGATCAAGAACTGCCTGTGTGGGGGGCTCTGGCGGCGGATGCCCCTCAACTGCCCTTGACTGGGGCCCCAAGCCCTGTAAATAGATTCCTGGTGGATTTTATAGGAAGGCGATTCTGTCCCTTCGCCAGTGAAGCATTCCACACACTCAGGACCTTTATTAGTGCCCTAAAAAACGGTCATCCTGGCCCTGGCAGGTTGCTCAGTTGTTTAGAGCGTGGTCCCCACACACCAAGGTTGGAGGTTGAATCCCTAGTCAGGGCACATACAAGAAATAGCCAAGGAATGTGTACATAAGTGGAATAACAATTGATGTTCCTCTCCCTCTAAAAATAAATAATTTTTTTAAATAATCATTCTTCAAGTATGACTTTTGGAGCCTCATCAGCCAAGGCCTGAGGAGGGGGCGTGGCAGGTGGAGATAGGGCCTGAAGCCCCAGGTTGGTGCCCAGGGGCTCCACTGTTCCTCTCTGGGAGCCTAATGGTGCCTCCCAGGAAGTGGAGCCGTTTCACAGCTGGCCTCTCTCCATGCTGGGTGCTAACAGACACCTAGGCCTGCTCACATGTCTTGTGGCTCAGGTGCCAACTTCCCCGAACCTCCAGACCCCCAGGTTTCCCAGCTCCCAGACGCCCTGGTCATAGTTCAGAGGGTCCAGGACATTCTGAATGTTGGTCCTTTAACATGTCCTATGTGAGCCCCGGCTGTTGTGGCTCAGTTGGTTGAGTGTCATCCCTTCTCTGCATTTCGTGGCCACACTGCTCCCAGGCCTCCAGCCTTCCTCTACTCACAACCCACCTCCTCCTCCCAGACCATCTCTGCAATCTTCTATGGCTCCCACTGACCATAGGATGGGGGTGGACCTCCTGTGACCCCCCGAGGCTGCACCCCCCTTCGCCTCTCCCCATCCCACCCTCCAGGTGGAGGAAGCCTGCCGGCTTCCCCAGGCATCAGCTCCTGGACAGGGCGCGCCCATCTGTAGCCCCCACCCGTCTGGGAAGATCAAAGGCAGGATGCCCAGTCAGTGTGTACTTCAGAGGAACAGTGAATACCTTCTTAATCTAAGTCTCCCAAATGTCACCAGGGACAGATAAAATATAAGATGTATTTGGTTTCTGAAAGTCCCACTTAACTAGCTAGCCTGTATTTTTAAAAAATATATTTTATTGATTTTTTTACAGAGAAGAAGGGAGAGGGATAGAGAGTTAGAAACATCAATGAGAGAGAAACATCGATTAGCTGCCTCCTGCACATCCCCCACTGGGGTGGGGGGGATGTGCCCGCAACCAAGGTACATGCCCTTGACCAGAGTCGAACCCGGGACCCCTCACTCTGCAGGCTGACACTCTATCCACTGAGCCAAACTAGTCAGATAGCCAGGTATTTTTATTTGCTAAATCTAGTCATCCTCCTTCCACCCCTTTCAACACCACTCCCTGGCATCATCACTTCATTCAGAAAATACCTATTGAGTGACTGAGCCTTTGGTGCCGAATGACCAGCAATTACGACTCTTATGAAATTTATCAGCCCACTGAGGAGGATCTTTCCATAGGAAAGCTTACATGAGTTGGATTCCATGCAACAGAATACATGGCCAGCTCTTCTGAGCAGGACTGGGAGGCAGCTGCGTCCACAGCACCAGCCCAGGGCCAGGCACACAGGATGAGCTCAATAAACTCTTGTGTATAAATTAATGCTCCATGTACAAAAACAAAATCCTCCCACAGTCCCAATTCCAACTTTCCAGTCTCCGGTGGGGCACACAACTTTACCTTTAGACCTTTTTTTTTTTTCAACAAAAAGGAAGCCATGAATGCCCTTGGGGGCTAGGCTTAACTGGTGGGACCCATTGGCCCCTCTTCCAGGCAGGAGAAAGGACACAGGGCCTGGGGCCTGGGTTCTGCCCTCTGTCACCTCCCTGTCATTGCCCAGGAGGGCAATGAGGGGTGGGGACAGGGCAGAGCTGTGTGGCTGCTCAGGGACACCCACCAATCTCTTTCTATGGCCCTCTCAGCCCAGCGAATGTCTCTAAATGCAGATGCCATGGCTCTGGGTTCGAATTCAGACTTTGCCGGTAGCTTCTGTGTGACCTCGGGAGATTCACATGAGCTCTCCCAGCCTATTTCCCAATTTGCAACATAGTCATAAAGCACAACGTGAGCGTCTCTGTACACCTAAATCTCAGCCCAGAGCAGGGGCCTGCACACATAGGCCCTCACAGTCCATTTGGGAAGCAAAAGGAGAGCTGGACGTTAGCCAGACCCTCTACTGGTAAGAAGGAGTAAGGGCGCCACCGTGTGGCCAAGGCACGGAGAGCACCTGACCACTTCAGCCCCTCATGAATGGTGTCAGATCTGCCCACTTTTACCCTTCACCCTAAGGTCCCCCCAACCAGGTTCACACCTTTCAGCCCTCCTGTCACCTCCTAGCACCGCATTACTGGTGCAGGAACTGTCCTTTTCGGGTTCCGCCAGCCCTGGGTCTGGCTTGTCTGTATCCTGCAGTGTGTGCTCTAATGGCAGCAGCAAGGGAGCAGCTGAATTCACCTAATCAGAGGCTAATGAATGGTTTCTGAACAGCAAATAAGAGAACAAAGAACCATAGGACGGCAGGAGCTCAGTTCAGGGGATTTGGCCTGCAGGTCAGCACAGGAGCTTCCCAACTATACTGCCTGGAACCTTTAGCCGCCAAGCAAAGAGACAACAGGGCTGGTATCACCCTGCACACCTAGCCTCGCGGCAGGGAGTCACTCAGGTCCGCAGGCCGGAGCCCCAGGTCTTATAATGCCTGCCCAGCTCCAACCAACCTCCTGAACTACAACGGGAGAGGAGTAGAGAGTCAGAAACAATGAGAGAGACATCGATCAGCTGCACACCCCCTATGTGCCCGCAACCAAGGTACATGCCCTGACGAATCGAACCTGGGACCCTTCAGTTCTCAGGCCAACACTCTATCCACTGAGCCAAACCGGCCTCGGCAATAAAAATATTTTTAAAATATATTTTATTGATTTTTTACAGAGAGGAAGAGAGAGGGATAGAGAGTTAGAAACATAGATCGGCTGCCTCTTGCACTCCACCACCACCACTGGGGACATGCCCGCAGCCAAGGTACATGCCTTTGACCAGAATCGAACCCGGGACTTTTCTGTCAGCAGGCCGATGCTCTATCCACTGAGCCAAACCGGTTTTGGCAATAAAAATATTTTTTAAAATAAAAAATAAAAGAATCAGTGGAAAAATATCCTCACTCCTTGGGTGAAAAATTAAAAAAACACCACAACACAATGAGATACTACCTCATGCCTGTCAGTGTGGCTCAGGAGAGTTGTCCCATGCACCAGAAAGTCACAGGTTTGATTCCCAGGGGCACATGTGGGAGGCCATCAATCCATGTTTTTCTCTTACATTGATGTTTCTCTCTCTTCCCCTTCCTACCTCTCTAAAATCAATTCAAGAGAGTGGTTGTAACATAGGATTTAAAAAAAATAATAAATCAACAAACAGCAAGAGTTGGTGAGGGTATGAAGAAAAGGGAATCTTCGTGCACTGTTTTTTCGGATTATAAAATTTAAAAAATATATATTTTATTGATTTTTTTACAGAGAGGAAGAGAGAGATAGAAACATTGATGAGAGAGAAATATTGATCAGCTGCCTCTTGCACACCCCCTACTGGGGATGTGCCCACAACCAAGGTACATGCCCTTGACCGGAATCGAACTGAGGACCTTTCAGTCTGCAGGCTGACGCTCTATCCACTGAGCCAAACCGGTTTCGGCAAGGGACTATAAAATTTAGCTGAAGACAGTTGCAGCATTATTTACGATGGCCAAAATATGAAACAACCCAAGTGCCCATCGATAGGCAAATGGACAAAGAAAATATGGTGCATATACAATGGAATATTTATTACTCAGCCACGAGAAAGAATGAAATCTTGTTATTTGCAACAGCATGGATGGACCTAGAGGGTATCATGCTAAGTCAGACAGAGAAAGACAACTGCCATATGGTTTCACTTCTTATTAAATGAATAAACAACACAGAAAGAAAAACATGCAGTCTGATGGGATGCGGGAGGGAATGACTTTATTGCTCCTCGGGGCCCCGCCCCTCAGGGTCTCCCGGGGAGGCCACGCCTCCGTCCATGACGCTGTCGATCCAGGCCGTGTAGCTCCCCACGCGAGTGTAGATGCCTGGCTTCTTGGGGTCACCACACACACGGGATCCTGAGGTGACCACGCCCTCGGCCACGCCGTTGCACACCAGAGGGCCCCCAGAGTCACCCTACGTGAGAAAGGGCAGTGAGGGGGGCATTTATCCCCCCCTCAAGAGCCCCCACGCCCTCCCCCTCCACATCGGAGCTCAACCGCTGCAATTCCCGCTCCTCCCTCCAGCCCGACCTGGTTCCCCGCCCCCGCGTGCCAATCCCTCAGGCCCCACCCACCGCCGCAGGCCCCATCCGCCAGGTCCCTGCCCTGCACACCCCACACCCCAGGGCCCGCCTTCCAGGCCCCGCACCTTGCAGGTGTCTCGGCGGCGGTGGCTCTCCGCGCACATCATGTGCTTCGTGACGGTGCCGTCGTGGAACCTGCGCAGGTTGCAGGTGGCGCGGTCCATCACGCGCAGCAGCAAGTGTTGCAGGCGGTCGGGCCGGCGGCCCGTGTGGCTCACCACGCCCCAGCCGGCCACGTCGCAGAGCGTGTCGGCGGCCACATCGCGGTCCTCGCGCTGCCAGGGCAGCAGCTTCACCTCGGCGCCCAGGGTGGCGTTCTCAGACAGCTGGGGGTGGGGCGAGGCGGGGGTCAGGGCGCAGGGAGAGCCTGCAGCAGCAGGGACTGTGGCTGGACTCCGTGGGGCCGGTAGGGGGAGGTGGGGAGCAGGGTTGGAGGTTGGGGGGGGGCATGCAGCAGCAGGGACTGTGGCTGGACTCCGTGGGGCCGGTAGGGGGAGGTGGGGAGCAGGGTTGAGGGTCACGGGGGTCGGGGGGGCATGCAGCAGGAGGGACTGTGGCTGGACTCCGTGGGGCAGGTAGGGGGAGGTGGGGAGCAGGGTTGGAGGTGGGGGGGGGGGCATGCAGCAGGAGGGACTGTGGCTGGACTCCGTGGGGCCGGTAGGGGGAGGTGGGGAGCAGGGTTGGAGGTTGGTGGGGGGGGGGGGGCATGCAGCAGCAGGGACTGTGGCTGGACTCCGTGGGGCCGGTAGGGGGAGGTGAGGAGCAGGGTTGGAGGTTGGGCGGGGGGGGGGGCATGCAGCAGCAGGGACTGTGGCTGGACTCCGTGGGGCCGGTAGGGGGAGGTGGGGAGCAGGGTTGGAGGTTGGGGGGGGGACATGCAGCAGCAGGGACTGTGGCTGGACTCCGTGGGCCGGTAGGGGGAGGTGGGGAGCAGGGTTGAGGGCCGGGGGAGGGCATGCAGCAGGAGGGAGTGCAGCCAGACCTGCAGCAGAAGGAGGTCGTGGTCGATGGTGTCCGGCCCGCTGCCGGGGTGGGGCACTGCTCGGAGCACATCGTACAGGCGCTTGGATGGCTCAGGTTCCGACAGGGAGAGCGCGCCCAGGAGCACCTTCACCGTCTCATTGGGCCTGGGGCTGGGGCGGGTCCATGTCAGATCCACATCCCCGACCTCTGCCCAGTCACATCCCTGCTCTGTGCTCCCCCCCAACCCCCGCCCCCCCCCCCCTGGCCAGCTCCACTCACACGTCCTCCAGGCAGTGCGCCGCGCTCAGCACCCACTGCTCCGCCACCAGGAAGCCGCCGCACACGTGCGTGCCGTTCACCTGCACCGACGCCATGTAGGGCCACTGGCGGGACTGGGCCTCCTGGCCGCCCAGGATCCGGCCCCGGGGCTGTGCCGCTGGGGGCAGGCAGGTGGGCGTGAGGACCCCACGGGGGGCTGCAGCCCAGCCCTCAGAGCCCCCGCAGGCCACCCCAGCCCCCCTCAGGCCTGGAATCTCACCATCGGAGCCCCCACCCCAGGGTCATACATTCAGATGGCGGGGCAGGAGGGGGCGGGGGTCGAACAGCAGGGTCTGGGGCTGACTCCATTCTATATACGAAGCCTGACAGCTTTGATTTAAACATAAGAAAAGCGGGATAGACGGAGACAACACTCCAGCAGCCCCTGGCCACGCGGGCCGCCAGTTTCCGTGGCAGAGCTGCGTGTTCTCACTGGGGAAAGCTTGCGTGTCAGATCCAAGTTCTGAGAATGCCCAGACGTTCAGAGCCTTCCATTCACCTGGGCGCTGCCCCTTTCTGCCTAACTAGGAGGGCTCGGGGGGCAGTCCTGTTGGATGGAGGGGCCCCATGGCTGACGACCCAGCAGGCTGGTGCCCCCCTGCTGCCAGCCCAGTCCCAGGTCCACGCTCACCACACAGGGCCGCTCCGAGAAGGACCAGAGCCGCCAGGCGCACGGGGAGGTCTGCCATGGTGCTGCTGTGGCCTCGACACTGACCCCGGCGGGGCCTGGGGCGCTCTCATGAGAGTGGGAGGAGGGGCGGCTCCAGTGGGAGGAGGGGCAGCCCTGTCTGTCCAATGGGAGGAGCCTGCCAGTTGGCCCCCCCCTCCTTCTGCTGGACTTTGCACCGTGAGGGCTGCCTCCTGCCTCTGTGTACCTCACCACAGCTTGTAAACAACTCACTTCCTCCTGTTTCCCCTCCCTCCCTCCCCCTTTCCCCCCTGCACCTCCCTTCTTTGTCTTCTTTCTCCAACTTGGAGAGGAAATTGGGTGGGGGAGGGAATAAGGTCACCCTACACCTTGTCCCCATTGCTGTGCCTCTGGGTCCTGGCACCCAACAAGCAGAGTGTTGGAAAGGTGGTGTGTAGGGGCAGCTGGAAAGACTGTGCCTTCAACAAGGACATTTTAACGGAAAGTTCAGGGTTGCCTTCAGGTGTGGCTTGATCCAGGCACCTCGAACAATGTCAGGTCTTTGCCGCTCGTCTCCCCCTTCTTCCTCAATGGCTTCTCTCCTCACCAGGATCCCCTGTTGTGGCCGCAGGAACCCCAGACTCAGCGGGCTCCTGCTCCAAGTCCCCATTACACCAATGTCTGCAGGCTGCCTCTGATTGGCTGAGCCTGGATCACGTGCTCCAGAGGGCTCCTTCCTGGGCCCAGGAAGACAGAAGAGGGGAACAAGTCAGTCATGTCCCTCCTCGTCCCCTCCCCCCATCCCACCCTCCCCCCAGGCTGGGGGATGCCTTGGGAATCTTCTGCTCGGCTCCTCCCCGCTTGTCAGAGCAAAGGGCTGGGGTTAGGGAGGACTCGTCTCTGTCACCCTGTGAAACCCCAACCTCTGGCTGCTCCCTGCCCCGACAGCCCTCACTGCTCCCCCGGAGAACAGAGGTTCAGAGGCAGCCACCAAGTTGCCCACAGGCAGAGCTGGGACTCGAACTCAGGCTCCTGAGAAGGGCTCCCCTGCTCCGCACCTCCACTTTTTTTTTTTTTTTTTTTTAATATTTTTATTGTTACAGAGAGGAAGGGAGAGAGATAGAGAGCCAGAAACGTCGATGAGAGAAATACCGACCAGCTGCCTCCTGCACCTCCCCCCCCCGCCCACCGGGGATGTGCCCGCAACCAACATACATGCCCCGACCGGAATCGAACCTGAGACCCTTCAGTCCGCAGATCGACGCTCTACCGCTGAGCCAAACCGGTTTCGGCCGCACCTCCACTTCTTATCTGTAACGCATGGCACCGCCGGGCCCTGCCTCAGGGGCTGGAGAATGATCCCCACACCGGCGAGCGCTCAGCAGACCCGGCTACGGCGCCGGTGCCATAACCACTTCAATGCGAACTTCATCGTGTGCGAGTGAGCTTTACGGGAGGGAAACCAGGAATGGCAAGGGGCATCTCTTTGTGCCAGGAGGAGGGGAAGGAACTTCTTACCCCAAAGCCCTGGTTTTGCTGCCCCCTGGTGGCAGCATTCTCGTGCGATGCCCCAAACACTCTCCTAACTACTTTTTTATTTTTTAACAATATGTTTTTATTGATTTTTTACGGAGATGAAGGGAGAGGGATAGAGAGTTAAAAACATCGATGAGAGAGGAACATCGCTCAGCTGCCTCCTGCAAACCCCCTACCGAGGATGTGCCCGCCACTGGAATCGAACCTGGGACTTTTCGGTCCACAGGCCGATGCTCTATCCACTGAGCCAAACCTACTCCTAACTGCTTCCCATCTCCAACGGGCACAACCAACATACACCCAGACACATTGTACAAAAGAGAAGTCTTTTATTCTGTCAGATGCTGCATCCTGCAGCCTGGATGGGCCTACCCGGGGGCAGGGGAGGCGGGGGGGGGGGCGGGGGCAGCCCTTCCTAGTGGCTCCTGCTCGCAGGGTCCCTGGGGTGGAGACGGGGGCGGCCGTCGTGTTGGCGGATGATGGAGTTGATCCAGTCTGCGAACTGCGCCACGGGGGCGAAGGCGTCCGGGTAGTAGCCGTTGCCGCAGCCTCCGCGGATGAAGGAGTCGATCCCGTGGATCAGCCCGTTGCAGACCAGGGGCCCGCCGGAGTCCCCCTGTGCGGGGCCGGGGAGGTGAGCAGGCGGGGCCTCCCTTCGGGGCTGGGAAGCCCTCCCGGGTTCTGGATCGCAGTCCTGGTGGCTGTGGCCCGGACAGGCGGGGGTGGGCGCGGAGAGGGGGGTGCAGGCGGAGGGGTGCGGTACTCACAAAGCAGATGCCGGCGCGCCGGCGGGGCACCAGCGTGCACACGTTGGTGGAGGGGCAGAGGGCGGTCACCACGGTCACGTTGAGCTGCTGCAGGACGCGGGGCGGTGGCCGGTTTGTGCCCAGCTGGCCCCATCCCATGGCCAGGCAGCGGACCCCGTTGCCCACACCTTGGCCCTGCTCGGGCAGCCTGGCCACCTGCACGTTGGCGTTGATGGTGGCTGAGCCGTTGAGCTGCAGGGGGCAGGACAGGGCATCGAAGAGTCACATGGGGCGGGGGTGCCTACGCTGCCCCTCCCGGGTCTGTTTCCCCTCGGAGGCCCCACGATAGACGTGGGTGTTTTTGTTTGTTTGTTTGTTTGTTTTTAATATATTTTATTGATTTTTTACAGAGAGGAAGACAGAGGGATAGAGAGCCAGAAACGTAGATGAGAGAGAAACATCGACCAGCTGCCTCTTGCACACCCCCCACTGGGGATGCGCCCGCAGCCAACGTACATGCCCTTGACCGGATTCGAACCCGGGACCCCTCAGTCTGCAGACCGACGCTCTACCACTGAGCCAAACCGGCTTCGGCAGACGTGGGGGTTTTATGGAGCAGGAGGGCCACCCTGCGGGATGCTCCCCACCCCGAGGGTCAGTGACCCTGTTTGTGAAGTGGAAGCAACCACAGTGGCTCAGGGAGAACTCGGACATGTTTTGAGCACAGGAAACAGCAGGCACCAAGCTATGGGCAACACCAGTGACAACCAGCAGCTCCGCCAGCCGCGGGGGAATATGGGGGATTTTGCTCCAAGACTGGGACTGTCCCGGCCCTCGGCCGCAGGGCACGAATAATCACAACCCTGTGCTGGCGGGCAGCTGCTCAGAGCACTCTGCGTCCTCCAGTTCATGGCTCAGCAACCCTCAGGTGGGGCTTATTCCCCAGGCGACACGGGTGGAGACTGAGGCACAGAGGCGACCTCCCCAGTGAGAGCCAGGTGTGACCCCCAGTCTGTAGCCCTTCTCTGCCCGCCCCTCTCCTCAGCCCCGGGACTTTATGCCTGCTCGGGCCTCCCTGCCCCACCCGGGCACCCGCCCGCCGCCCGCCGCCCGCCGCCCGGCCGGCCACCCCACCTGCAGGAGCACGATGTCATTCGCCAGCCTCTGGGCATCGAAGCCGTTCTCGAAGACGCGCTGGACGCGGAACAGCTGCCGCGTGGGCTCTCGCCGCCCCAGGTTGTGTGCCCCCAGCACCACCTGCACTGCCCGGAAGTTTCTGAGGCAGAGCGGGTGCGGGAGGGGATTCGGGGTGGCTCTTGAGTTTGGGGGTGGGAGAGAGACCCCAGAGCCCAGGCCCATGCCCTCGGGATGCCTCCCCACCCAGGGCTGGCGAAGCAGGTGCCTCGATGGGGCGCCCGGGAGGAGCCCAGACCCTGGTCTCATCCCCCCTCCGCCCCCACTCCCCGCTTGGACAGACGTGGGAACGGAGGGAAGCGGGAAGGCAGGCTCAGGAGTCACTCACCTGCCATTCACACAGTGCGCAGCCGACATGACAAAGTTGGGGGCCACCAGGGTCCCCCCACAGAAGTGGCCTCCGCGCTGCTGCAGGGACACCATGAAGGGCCACGCGTGGGGCCGGGCCTGCCGGCCGCCCACGATCTCAGAGGCCAGCACGGGGCCTGGGGACAGACAGCCAGGATGGGGCGGTGAGTGTCACGGAGGAGCCCACCCCACGGGCCAGTTGGCCTTGAACTCCCTCCCACAAGAACCTCGGGGTCGGGACTCTCCACGTGCTTGCCGTCAGGTGAGGAGATGGAGGTGCAGAGAGGACAGGGGGCCTGCTGCCGCCGCCGCCTCCTGCCCGGGCACAGCGAGATCTGAGCTTCCTCTGGCTTTGGAGTGCCCAGGGCGTGCCCACTGACCCGCCGGGGCCCCTCACCACGCTGAGCCTCCGTCTCCTCCTCTGGAAATGGGTCCCCATCCAGCTCCCCTCCCCGTGGAGAAGCAGGAATGGATGCCCAGGAACAGAGGGATGGACGGACACCTGGCTCCACTCACCGCCCAGCAGCACGGTCAGCAGGAAGGAGGCCAGGGCGGGGCCGGAGGGTCTGCGGCTTTGGGTCATGGTTGAGCGGGGGCCCCGGTGTCTCTGCCCCCTGCACCCACCTGGCCCTCTTATAGCCCCGAGCCCGGGGCCGTTGCATTGCCCCACGCAGGGCCAGGTGTCCCCACTTCCTCTCCCCCCCCCAACCCCCGGGAATGGGTGAGGGTGATGACGGGAAGAATGGGGGTGATGGTGCCAGGGGCCTGGGTTGGCTCCGGACAAAATTCAGGACACACATTTGAAAGTCAGACTTAAAAAAATGTTTTTTCCTTTTTTAAAAAAAATATTTTATTGATTTTTTTTTTTACAGAAAGGAAGAGAGAGCTAGAAACATTGATGAGAGAGAAAGATTGACCAGCTGCCTCCTGCACACCCCCCACTGGGGATGTGCCCGCAACCAAGGTACATGCCCTTGACCGGAATCGAACCTGGGACCTTTCAGTCCGCAGACAGACGCTCCATCAGCTTTTTTTTTTTTTTCCTTTTTAACTAAGTGTATTGAGGTGACATGGCTTAATAAATTATATAAGTTTCAAGCGTGCAGTTCTGATACATCGTCTGTGCCCACCACCCAAAGTCAAGTCTCTGTCACCTCATATCTGACCCCTTTACCCTTTCCTTCCCCCAAGCCCCTGCCTCTGGTGACCACCGTACCAATGCCTGTGTCCGTGAGTGGTTTTTTAAAGCAGTTTGTGCAGTATAACCATGTTCCGTGTGTGGCCGAGAGGAATCACAGCTCTGCAGCAGTGGGGAAGGGACGGCGTCTCCTTATCTAGAAAGCTGGTCATCGTTTATCTGACTTTCACACGTAACTGGGCGTCCTGTATCTTCGCTAAATCTGGCAGCCCTGGGCCAGAGTGTCGTCTGCCCGCATGCCTCTGTCTGTCTGCTCAGAGCCCCCAGTGGGCCCGGACCTTTCACAGGGGACGGGGGTTGCGAGGTTCCACGTGAGATGAGGAAGCTGATGCACCGTGAGGCCTCCCCTGTGAGCCTTACCCAGCGACACGGGGAGAGGCTGGGGTTTGACTCAGGCCCCACAGTTCGCAGCCGGATGGTGATTTGTTGCTCACCTCCCTGCGCCTTGGGTCTCCCTCTCCCGGCCTGGCCTTCCCGCCTCCCCTTGGCTGTTGCTCACAATGGGAAACTCATTCCCATTCCCTTTCCCACGGGGGGCGCTGTTAGCCCCTGGTCCCCAGCGGAGGTTCTGGGGAAGAGCCCCCTCTGCCCCCTGACCCCCACCTCCCGAGGGTTCACAGAGCCCCTCTCCGGCCTGGGGCAGGGGGCTGGGCCATGGATGTCCATTGAGGCTTGAGAGCTCCTGTCTGGGGTGTGGAAGGTCTCGGGCCAAACAGTGGCGAAGGGGTCCCCAGGGCCCAGCCCCCACCCCCCGGCCCTGTTCCTCTTCCCACTCCCCCAGAATGCTCCAGCTGCAACGGCCGAGGCCAGGGCTGTCGCAAGAAGCAACGTTCTCCTGACCAGGAGCTGGGTTCACAGGAAGGAACCAACGGATCCATCGCAGGAGCAGGCGGGTGGGGACGGGGAGGGCACCCAGAGTCTGTCTCTGGGCCTCCCGGTCCCTCTGTGGCCTCAGGCAAATGGAACCCCAGAGCTCATCATTGAGGAGGATGGTCCTGCTTTCCCAGAGCCTGGCACACAGCAGGCGCTCATCCCTCCCTCCGTCAGATATCTGTCCCCTGCCCTCTCCCTGCTTTGCAGGGTCCCCACCCCATTGTGTTAAATAGACCACAGAGCATTCAGTGTGCACCTACTGTATACACAGCCCTGTTTCCAGTCCGGGGACGAGGGAGAGTGGAGGGAGCCATGTCTTTGGGGAGGGGAGGGGTGCTGCGGCTCAGACAGGGAGACCCCGTTTAATCAAAGCTGCATGTATTGAGCATCACCTGTATACTTTGTACACACATCTCATAGTTGGTCAAGCCTCAGGACTCTGGGGTCCTCTCCTGGCTCGGCCACTTGCCTTCCGCATAACTTCAGGACACAGACTTCACTGGCCTGTGCCCCAGTTTCCTTGTCTGTAAAGGGGAAGTTATAATAATAGACTCCATTGTATAGGATTATCCCGAGGCTGGAGTGAATGAGCACGTGTTGGTTCTTAGATAAGAAAGTGAGGCCCTGTTAACCGTTCATCACCTCGGGGAGGGTGCGGTGGGCCAAGGCTGGGAGGCAGACGCCAAGGCTTCTCGTTTGCGATCGGAGTCGTGGTCACACGGGCCACCCCTGTGCAACGAGGAACGCGACTTCCAAATGAGACAGGTGCACGGTAGAGACCGGGTCACAGGGCAGGGAGGAAACATGGTACCTTCCCCATCGCTGCAGACGGGGGTAGGGACTGGCACCACGGGTCTGGGGCCCCTCGCAGCACAGACGCACACGCCCCTGGGGCTGCTGGGGGAGCCCCTTGCTCCCCGAGGCCTCCTGGTTTGCATGTGCGGATCATCCTGCTTGTTACTCTCATGGGCTCGTCATTTCCTGAATCCACTCCAGGGCCCCCAATCCCCTGGTCCTCAGCTCCCAGCCCTGGGTTTGGCCTTGGCTGTGAGAGCGCCCTGGAACCATCGTTCACACACAAGCCCACAAAGATCCAGCAAGAGGCGTTTGCGGGTCTTCCTGTTCCCGACAGTCCCTCTAGCAAACCTCTTTTACCCCCAACGCTGTGGAGTGTGTGTGTGTGTGTGTGTGTGTGCTTTAATATACTTCTACTGATTTCAGAGAGGAAGAGAAAGAGCTAGAAACATCGATTGGCTGCCTCCTGCAGCACCCCCCCCCCCCAAGTGGATGGAGCCCACAACCCGGGCATGTGCCCTTGGCCATAATCAAACCTGGGACCCTTTAGTCTGCAGGCCGACGCTCAAGAGGCCAAAGAGCCACACTCAAGGGGCCAAAGAGCCGCATGTGGCTCTCGAGCCCTCGAGCTGCAGTTTGCTGACCACGGGGCTAGGGCGATGTGGGGCTTTTATAGAAACCACTTCCCTGCCTTGAGCCCTTGGGAAGTGCAGGGAAGCCCAGCATCCCCCTGCGGCTCACCAGGGTGCATTCCCAGGATGCAGCTGTGTCCCCCGTCTTACACATGTTGGCTGCTGGTGCCGCTGCTCTAGCCCAGCCCTGGCCCTGGCCTGGGGTAAGGTGTGCAGAGTTGCATAAGAGGGCAGGCCCGGCACTCTCACTCTTGCTTGGATCTGTATGCTGACACCAGGTGGTGGTAGAAGGAATCGATATGGAAGGGCTCTCTTCCAGTCCAGTCCCGTCTGTCCGTCTGTCCGTCTGTCCGGTGAGCAGGTTGGCCGTCCCTCTGAGCCTCATTCCCGTGGCTACTGGCCCACAATGAGCTCTCCCTCTTCCTGCCCCACGGCTCTTCTCTAGCCCCCCTCCTGCCCCCATTCATGTCTGTGGCCCCGCGTGCTCCAGCCCCACCACCTGCCTGAACTCTCCTCCCCCAGCCCTTGGCCGGCTCCATTCCAGCCACACAGAGCTCTCCCCGTTCCTCAGCCCTCCATCAGCTTCCCTCCATTCCTGCTCAGGCACAGCCTCCTCCTCCAGGAGGCCTCCCTAATAGCCATCCTGCCGGCCCCTGGCTGAGTCAGGAGCCCCCAGGCCTGGCACTCCACGACATTATTATTTTTTAAATACATTTTTATTGACTTCAGAGAGGAAGGGAGAGGGAGAGAGAGACAGAAAGTCAGTGATGAGAGAGAATCATTCGCCGCTGGGGATGGGGCCTGCCACCTGGGCCTGTGTCCTGGCCAGGAATTGAACCAGGCCCTCCTGGTTCATAGGTTGATGCTCAACCACTGAGCCACGCGGCTGGTCAGCTCTCGTGCTGTGACAGCCTGGCCGGTCCTCCAGCAGCCCCCCGGCTGGAGACACAGTGGACACGGCGCCCCTTCCTGAGGGTGAGGGTGGGGCTCTTGGCTCCCTTTTCCAGACAAGGGACCGGAGACACAGACACGGGCATCGGCCTGCCAGGGGCCACACGGGTGGAGCTGGATTCGAACCCACGACCATGGGCCCTGGGGGAGTGGGACTCCTGGGACCTGGGCCCTACACTGGCTTCTAGGCTTCTGCTCCAAAACCCCATCCGAAGTCTGGGGTCTGGAGGCTTGGGTGCTGGGGGCCCTTGGGAAGGACAGACAGGAGCCGAAGGAGGGTTTCAGTGTTTTATTGACGTCACCGTGAGGCTGGGCGCCGGCTCCCTTCCCCCCACGAGGGCTTGTTCTCTGGCCTCAGCCTGTGGGGGGGTCTGGAGGAAGGGGCTCAGGGGCTGCCCTCACCGCCCACACTTCTCAGCACAGACTGGATCCAGTCCACATAGAGGGAGACGCGCGCGAAGAAGTCAGGGTACTGGCGGTTGGCACACTCGCGGATCAGGAAGGAGTCCACGCCCTGGAGGACGCCGTCGCAGATCAAGGGGCCGCCAGAGTCGCCCTGGGAAGGAGGGGACGTTGGTCAGTCGCCAGGATGTGGCTACGGCAGCTGGCGGCAGCCTGAGGCCATTTAGGGGTCACATGTTTCTGGTGACCACTCAATGGGGACCAGATTGTCCGGCTTCTGTCAGGACAGTCCTGATTTTTAATAATTTTTTCCCTCGTCCCGCGTTTTAAAGACACCTCGGGACACGGGAAAGAATCTTTCCAAGCTTTCCCATCTTTCCAAAAATCGGGACTTTTTAAAAACGCCTCGGGATGTGGGGAAAATTGTTAAAAATCAGGACTGTCCCGCCAGAAGCGGGACGATCTGGTCCCCATTGAGCGGTCACGTGAGAGAGGAGGCCGCTCAGGAGGGGGGCGGGCACTGACTGCCCTGCTGCAGACCTGGGCCCGGAGTGAGCTGGGCTGGTCCGAGAGGCGCCCGGAGTGGGAGGGTCCCTAGGCCCGCCGAGGCCTCCGGGTAGACAGGAGCACCCCTGGGTGCCTGTGGGCGCCGAGGCTGTGCCCCATCACTGGCTGAGCCCTCGCAGGGGGTGCTCCCCTCTTCCCGGCAGGAGACCAGCTGCTCAGTGAGGAGGAGGTGGATCTGAACGCTGCCACCCCACACGCTGCCTCCCGTGCCGATGCCCGGAGCCCTCCCTGCCCTCCGCAGCGGCCGGGGCCCGGGCGCTGGCAGGTACGTACGAAGCAGATGCCGGCTTTGCGCCGGGGCACGAAGGTGCACAGGTTCTCCTGCCGGCACAGGAAGGTGACCACGGTGACGTTCAGCTCCTGGAGGATGGGGGGCAGCGGCTCCGTGGTGCCCAGGCGGCCCCAGCCCATGGCCAGGCACGGGGTGCCGTGGGGCAGCTGCTGGTTCTGCTCCGGGAGCTGGGCCACTGCGACCTGGGCGGTGAGGTTGGCCGGGCGGTCCAGCTGGGGCACAGGGAGGGTCGGGGGCAGTGAGAGCCTGTCTCCAGGCCCCAGAGCGGCCCTTTTCACATGCACGCACGCCCGCCCTGACCGCCCCAAAGTGCCTCCTCCCCTCCCACTCACTCTCAGGTTCTCCCTCAGGGGTCACCTCCTCCAGGGAGCCTGTTCGGATTGATCCTCCAACCCCCACCCCACCCTGCCCCGGGCTGTTTTCCCTTCTCTGACTCCATGTGCCTCCCTTTGGTAGCGTTTGTCCCTGTGGCCTTCCTCCTCTCACAGAGCACTCAGTGAGGGCCACATCCTCCCCGAGCCTCCCTCCACAGCTGGCCTTTCGGGGATGCGGGGAGGCAGGGGAACGGCGAGATGGTGAACCGAAAATCAGGGGAGGGGTGGCCGTCTTTCCACGAGGGCAGTGATCGGCAAACTCATTAGTCAACAGAGCCAAATACCAACAGCGCAACAATTGAAATTTCTTTGGAGAGCCACATTTTTTAAACTTAAACTTCTTCTGACGCCACTTCTTCAAAAATGACTCGCCCAGGCCGTGGTATGTTGTGGAAGAGCCACACTCAGGGGGCCAAAGAGCCTCATGTGGCTGGCGAGCCTCAGTTTGCCGACCACGGGTCTAAGTGAGGGCAGCTCTCGCAGGGAAGGTGAGGCTGGCGCTGAGGTGGGGCTGAGGGTGTTGGGTGGGTGGGTGCTGGCACGGGGCGTGGCCAGATCAAAGGCAGATGGGGCTTCGAACTGCTGCCCGTGAGGAGGGTCTGAACGGCCTCCCCTCACCAGGCCCGCTGTGTCCCGGGCTGTGTCCCAGCACCGGCCGGGCCTGGCAGACAGTAGGTGCTCAGTGCGTGTCTGCTGAAGGTGCTGGGGGGCGCCACCCACCTGCAGGAGGAGGATGTCGTTGTGGAATCCCTCGGGGTCGTAGTTGTTGGAAAACACGCGAACGACAGAGAGACGCTGCTGGCTGGGCTCCTCGTTCCCCAGGTTGTGGGCCCCGAGCACCACCCTCACCAGGGCCGCGGGGCTGAGGGGTCAGGGTGCTTAATGTTTGCCGCCCCCACCCACCCATTCCTCACCCATGGGCACCCTGAGCACCAGAGGCAGCTCCCTCAGTTACAGCCTCCCTCAGAGGGAGCGCCCCCTCCCCCTCAGACCGAAGGAGGGCACCTCCCCCATCAGACCCGGGGCCACCTCCCCCTCAGACCCGGCAGGGCCCCTCCCCCATCAGACCCGGGGCCACCTCCCCCTCAGACCCGGCAGGGCCCCTCCCCCATCAGACCCGGGGCCACCTCCCCCTCAGACCCGGCAGGGCCCCCTCCCCCATCAGACCCGGCAGGGTCCCCTCCCCCTCAGACCCGGCAGGGCCCCTCCCCCATCAGACCCGGGAGGGCCCCTCCCCCTCAGACCCGGCAGGGCCCCCTCCCCCTCAGACCCGTGAGGCCCCCTCCCCCTCAGACCCGGGGCCACCTCCTCCCACAGACCCGGCAGGCCCCCTCCCCCTCAGACCAGGCAGGGCCCCTCCCCCATCAGACCCAGGAGGGCACCTCCCCCTCAGACCCGGCAGGGCCCCTCCCCCATCAGACCCGGCAGGGCCCCCTCCCCCTCAGACCCGGCAGGGCCCCCTCCCCCCTCAGACCCGGGAGGGCCCCCTCCTCCTCAGACCCGGGCCCCCTCCCCCTCAGACCCGGCAGGCCACGGGCACTCACATGTTCTGCAGGCAGTGAGCAGCGGTCAGCACGAAGCTGGGGTGGACCAAGGTGCCCCCACAGAAGTGGGAACTCAGCATCTGCAGGGACGCTATGTAGGGCCGCGAGTGGGGCTTAGCTGCCCGCCCGCCCACAATCTCCGAAGCCCATGCTGCACCTGCGAGCGAGGACATCAGCGGCCGTCACTCTCCCTCCCAGGCGGGGAGCCCCGGGCAGACACGGAGTCCAGTCCCAGAGCCCCCGCCCCCGAGGCATTCATCCCGGCAGCACATGGGTCCTGCCCTGCTCCTGCTCAGCCTCCCTCTGTGGGGAGAGGGTGCTGGCCGGCTGGGGTGGGTGGATGTTTCCCAGAATCCACGAGGCTTGGGCAGACGGACGAACGGACGTGTGGCCCCACTCACCGCCCAGCAGCGTGGCCAGCAAGACAAGGGCCAGGGCAGGGTGGGAGGGCCGGTGGCTCAGGGTCATGGTTGGTCGGGGCTCCCTTGCCTCCCCAGCCCCTCTTATAGCCCCAGCCCTGGAGGCCGTTGGGGTTGCCCCACACCTGGACTGCGTGTCCTTACTTCCTCCTTTCCATTTGGGCCACAAGGAGTTGGGGGTCAAACCACACTCCAGGGGGACAGGGAGCACTGGGCTCCGGGTTCCAACTCCCCGGTGAGTAAGAGGAACTCCTCCTGCCCACCCCAGGCCTGGGCGCATGGACGCGGGCCAGCAGGCACGGGCGCAGAGGGGCGCACTCCGCTCTCCGCGCCTCCCCACAGGCCCCTGCGGCCGGCATGTCCCGGAGCTGCTGTGAGCTCGCTCCTGGACAGGAAACAGCAGGGGGGCCACGGAGCCATGTGCCCTCCTGGGACCCAGAGGGCTCACTGTCCCTCAGAGGCAGAGTTCTTACCGGCTGGTTGTTCCCCAGGGGACACAGCCTGGGGCAGTGACTGTGATTGTCAGGATGGACTGACGGGGGATGCTCCTGGTATGGAGGATGTGGAGCAGGGACCATTCTCAACCCCGCACAACGCCTAGGGCAGCCAGCTCTCCAGGGGTGATCTGCACGTGCATGTGCGCGCACACACACACACACACACACACACACACACACACACACCAGTGTAAGTAGTGGAGAAGCCCTAGTTAATTATTTGGGGACATTTTTAAAATATATATTTTATTTATTTTTTACAGAGAGGAAGGGAGAGGGACAGAGAGCTAGAAACATTGATCAGCTGCCTCCTGCACACCCCCCATTGGGAATGTGCCCGCAATCAAGGCACATGCCCCCGACCGGAATCGAACCCGGGACCATTCAGACCACAGGCCGATTGCTTTATCCATTGAGCCAAACCAGTCAGGACTATTTGGGGACATTTTGATTCCACTTCCTGCTCACAGTAGCCGCCAGAATAAATCATGACGTCCGGACGATATAAACCAGGGTGACCCCAGCATCTGTGAGCCACGTCCCCCCCTCCCACTCAGGCTGTTTATTTACACGTGGGCAGCCTCCCAGGGCCTCAGTGGTCACGAACGCAGAGTCTCCTGGGGTCTGTGGGGTCCCCCGACCCAGGGGTTAAAGGAACAGGGCGCTGGCCGGTGCTGCAACGTGGATGAACCCTGCAAATACGTGCTCGTGAGAGAAGCCAGACCCAAAAGGACAAATGCTGTGCGATTCCGTTTATGTGAAATGTCCAGAACACACAGATCCAGGGGCAGGAAGTGGGTTGGTTGGTGGTTGCCAGGGCTGGGGCGGGAGACGGGGAGTGACCGCTGATGGGGAGGGGGGAGTTCTTTTCGGGGCCATGGAATGTTCTGGGACTGGGTAGAGGAGGTGGTTACAGTTACACAATATTGTGGATGCATCAAATGTCACTGAATCGTTAACTGGGTGAGCCGTACGGTTTATTAAAGTATATTTCAATAAAGCTTTAACAACAACAAAATGAAACGTACACACAAGCCCCGCTGGGTAACTCACCCACCAAGGGGAGCCTCCCTGGAGGGTCCCGGGTGCTCCTCTCCGAGCGCTCTGTTCCGGGTGCACGCTCCCCGGGGCTGGGGGCCAGGCGGGGAGTGTGCAGGGAGGGGGCTGCCTGGAGGCCTAGGGGATGGTGAGGGAAAGCTCCCAGCAGGGGCTGTGGGGGGGGGGGCAGGGCGGCGATAGGAATGACCCCCTGGCAGGGGGGCCGAGGCAGGCAGAGGGGAAGTGGGGGCTGGGAGCTGTTGCCCCGGCCCCTGTCCATTCCAACCGTGGGTGGCACAACAGGCAACCGCGCGCTGCTGCCGGCACGGGGGCTGTTGCGTCACCCGGACCCGAGGGAAGGAGAGGGAGCAGGAGGGCCAGCCTTCGGCCTCTCTGTTCCGGCCTCTCTTCTCCTTAAAAGAGAAAAATATGGCCTCAGCGGTTTGACTCAGTGGATAGAGCGTCGGCCTGTGGACTCAAGGGTCCCAGGTTCCATTCCGTCAGGGGCATGTGCCTTGGTTGCAGGCACATACTCAATGGGGAGTGTGCAGGAGGCAGCTGATCAATGATTCTCTCTCACGATGTTTCTAACTCGCTATCCCTCTCTCTTCCTCTCTGTAAAAAATCAATAAAATATACTTAAAAAAAGAAAAATATGATTTTCTTTTTTTTCTGCTTTTTTTAATTGTTTGCCTCTTTCTTTCTTTCTTTCTTTCTTTCTTTCTTTCTTTCTTTCTTTCTTTCTTTCTTTCTTTCTTTCTTTCTTTCTTTCTTTTTAAAATCAATCTTTATTGTTCATATTATTACAAAGGTTCCTCATTTCTTCCTTCTTCCACCAGGTTCCCACCCCACCCTCCACCCCCTCCACACCCCCCATTGTCCTCATCCATAGGTGCACAGTTTATGTTCAGTCTTTTCCTCCCTCCCTTCCCCCGCCCCCCCCCAGAACAGTCAGTCCACTCCCGTCCCATAAATGGACACATTGTTTAAACATAGCTGCTGGTTGGAATTGGATTACCTGTTCTGGGTGGGAAGGGCTTGTCATTCCCTTTCTCCATTAAAATTAAGGTGTTAGCTTTAAAAGCTCTTTTTGGCAAGAGACCTTAAACTTTCAGAACTTTAAATTTTTCAGATAGTAAATCAGTTACTTAGCATTTTCTCAAATCAATAATACCTCCACATGCCCAAGGATACACTTCACACAAAAGACATTTCCAAATAGATCAACCAACCTCATCCAGGCCCCACACAAGGCACTCACAGATCAACACCCCAGCGCTATACTGACTTAACACATCCAGATCTAAGTCTTCCTCATTTGATTCAGCAGACCCTCAAGTTCCCCCAAAAGTTTCCAGCCATGTCTGAGAGGCAGCCGTGAGGCGGAGGCAGGCAAGGAGCGAGCTGTTCTGGGCCTGGCTGCTCCGTGCCTGGCCTCTGTTGCTCTGGTTCGTTCCACAACTGATAGGCTGCCTCCCACATGCCCCCCACCGGGGACAGAGCCCACAACCCAGACATGTGCTCCTGGCAGGAATCGAACCCAGGACCCTTCAGTCCACTGGCCGACGCTCCATCCACCGAGCCAAACCACTAGGGCCAGTATCCGGTGTTGGAAGAATCCACTCCGGTGAAGAAGTGGGGGCCCTGCCACAAGGGCTCCATCGAAGAAGCTATGCCACACGCCAGACCATTACAGATGGGGGGCACCCATCACCAGCCATCACCCTGGACAGGGGGCAGGCCAGCCAGGGGACCCACTCTCCTCCCACCACAGAACCTCTGAGCTGGTAGGTCCCCCCACAACTTGAACCCTTCTCCTGCGACCCCCAAACCTGTCCCAACCCCACCTGTTCTCATGCTGCTCAAATGCTCAATGGTTAACCACCCAATTCTAATTCCGTACTCAGCATCATACTGTCCCGGACTTGCTCTCTCCCACACGGGACACTCATCATCTCTAAGACCTCTCCTCCCACCAGGGGGAGCCTGGGCTGGGCTGCACCTGGCCTGTACCTGGCAGATGCCACCCGGCAGGTAAAAATGCCAGTGCACACATTGTTGGGGTGACACTGGTCCAAGGGGGTCATGGTGGCATTGAGGTTCCTTGGGAAACTGGAGATACGACCCCTATGCCAGTGGTTGGCAAACCGCGGCTCGCGAGCCACATGCGGCTCTTTGGCCCCTTGGGTGTGGCTCTTCCACAAAATACCACGGCCTGGGCGAGTCCATTTTGAAGAAGTGGCGTTAGAAGAAGTTTAAGTTTAAAAAAATGTGGCTCTCAAGCTGGGACCAGTTTGGCTCAGTGGATAGAGCGTCGGCCTGTGGACTGAAAGGTCCCGGGTTCGATTCCGGTCAAGGGCATGTACCTTGGTTGCAGGCACATCCCCAGTGGGGGGTGTGCAAGAGGCAGCTGGTTGATGTTTCTCTCTCATCGACGTTTCTAACTCTCTGTCCCTCTCAATTCCTCTCTGTGTAAAATCAATAAAATATATATTTAAAAAAATGTGGCTCTCAAAAGAAAGTTCAATCGTTGCGCTGTTGTTATTTGGCTCGGTTGACAAATGAGTTTGCCGACCGCTGGCCTATGCCGTTGGCTCCCCAGCCTGCCGCCCGGAAGCTGGCGGTGGCTTCCACCGCGGCGCTCTGCCAGGGCAGTGGTCCCAGCGCCACGCTGCTGGTAAGGTTGGCCTCACCCTCCAGCTGGGGAGGGAAACCAAGTCAGGAGGGACTGGAGCCTCATGGGGCCCCGTGGGAGCCAGAGTGGCAGCGAAATAAATTCTGGTCTGTAAAGTGGTTTGGGTTCAAGTCCCAGCTTGGGCAGAAACCTGCTGTGGCATCCTGGCCCGGTCCCTTTACCTCTCTGGGCCTCTGGTCCCTACACCATAGAGAAAGAATGATCAGCCCTAGCTCTAGCCAGTTTTATTTATTATTAAATAAAAATATAATAACAATGATAATAAAAGAATAATCAGCCCTAGCTGGTTTGGCTCAGTGGATAGAGTGTCAGCCTTCAGACTGGAAGGTCCTGGGTTTGATTTCAGTTAAGGGCACATGTCAGGGTTGCAGGCTCATCTCTCTCATAATTAATGTTTCTCTCTCTCTCTCTCTCTCTCTCTCTCTCTCTCTCCCCCCCCCCCCACCCTTCCTCTCTGAAATCAATAAAAATATATTTTTTAAAACGTGGACATGTCTGAAAATAAAAAATCATGATATCCAGTGTTGGTAACACTATGGAGAAAGGGGCAGTTTTTATTTAATTCTGCTGGTGGAGAGGGTAAGTATTGGTCTACCTGGGAGAAACTTTTGCAGGACACAGATACAAAGAAGTTCAGTGTAATTCTAGCTGGAAACAACTAAGAGTCCACCAAATGGAGGCTAAACAAGTGGTTGTGGGATGTCTGTGCGCTTTGCTACATGAGGTGATCGACCTCAGGAAACGCAGGCTCTCTCCCTGAGCCCTCAGCCTCCGCCCGTCCACCGTGCCACCCCTTTCCCCACCGCAGTCCCAGCAGGC